CGTCGCGTCGGGGAGCGGCGCCGCCGGCGCGAGCGTCGAGCACGCAGCTGAGGGCGAGCGCGAGGAGGCCGAGGCGGCGCCGTTCGGCGAGCAGGACACGGCGGAGCTCGTGTACCAGCTCGCGCGCGCCGAGCTCAACGGGTGGGACAAGGACACGGTCTGGGTGTACATGGCCAAGAAGGTGCGTCCCTGCTTCTCTTTTCTAACCCTCCCTCTCTCGTCGAGCCGAGTCACTCACGCATCTTCCCTCTTCCGCGCCACCCCGCCGCAGCTCGGCCGCTCGCCCGACGACTGGCACGCCTACTACCTCGCCAACGTCGTCGACCTCCTCCTCAAGGTCGCGCACAAGGTCGGCGAGCTCCTCGCGGCGCAGCAGCGCAAGCGCGACGCCACGGCGGCGGCGGCGGCGGCTCAGCAGGAGAAGGACGAGGCCGACCGGTTCGAGCGCGAGCGCGCGGAGGCGGCAGCGGCGGCGGCGGTGGCAGAAGAGGAGCGCGTCCGGCTCGAGAAGGAGCGCGAGGACGCGCAGCGCCGGGCGCGCGAGGCCGAGGAGCAGCGCGAGCGCGAGGAGCAGGCGCGGCTCGATGCCGAGGAGGAGGCGCTCAAGCGGGCGGCGGCTGAGGCTGAGGAGCGCGAGGAGCGGGAGCGGGTCGAGCGTGTCGAGGCGGACAAGGTGCGGGCGGAGAAGACGCGGCAGGCGAGGCGGGAGAAGGACCGCGCGAGGAGGAAGGAGGGAGCCTCGTGCGTCGACTTTGGCCCGTCCTTTCCTTCCCTGTGCGCGATACCGACAGCTCTATCGCCGTAACAGGACCTCGCCGCCGCCGTTCTCGTCGCAAGAACAACGCCCTGTCGCTGTCAAGCCTACCTCGACCGCCCAGCCCGCCGCCCCGACCGTCCTCACGCCGCGCAGCACCCCTCCTCTGCGCGCCGCCGCCGCGCCGCTCTTCCTCCCGTCGTCGCCCACTACGCGCGCCTCGATCGAGGCCATGTACGGCCCCGACCTCGCCGCCATCGACGAGGAAGACGACCAAGCGCTTCCTGCGCCCGACGCGTCCGGCAGCTCGCTGCCGCACCTGTCGCAGTACTCGGTCGCGCCCTCGCCGTTCCTCGACGGTCATGTGCTCGCCTCTCGGCGCCAGAACGGCGGCGACGCGGACGAGCTCGGCTCCGGCGCCGACACGGACGACCGCGAGCTCGACGAGCAGCTCAAGGCGGCCGTCGCCCCGACGGTCAAGGTCGAGCGCGACGACGACGACGCGCGGTTCGAGCTCGAGCAACATGCCGTTCACGACGACAGCGACGACGTGTCGATCTGGGACCCGCTCCTCGACGTCGAGTACAACCTCATCATCGACTCGCACGAGCTCGTCGAGGCGCTCTCGGCACGGGCCGCCGCCGCCGCCGCCGCCGAGCTCGACGCAGGCCCGCTCACTGCCGAGCAGCCGACAGCGTCGAGCAGCAAGAAGCGCCGCAGGACCGAGTCGCCCGCTCGTGCGACGACCGACGAGCTCGAGCAGCACGAGCACGAGCAGCCGGCGAGCAAGCGCCAGCGCGTCGTAGACGAGCATGTCGTCGATGCACCTCTTGTCGCACAACCTGCGCAGGGGCCCGCGACCGTCGACGTGGCGCCGGCGCCCCCCCTGCGCTCGAGCCCCTCCGTCCCGCGCCGGGTCCCTCGCGCCTCCCTCGCCGCCGTCGCGAGCGCCTCCCCGGCGCCTCCCGCTCCAGCACCCGTCGCCGCCCCGGCACCTGCGCCGACGCCGACGCCGGCGCCGAGCGCGACCGCCCGCCGCCCGCTCAAGGACGAGCTCGCGGCCGTGAGCGCCGCGTCGGGCCTGTCGTACACGGCCGTGCGCGACCTGTACTTCTGCGTGTCGGCCCTGAGCGACCTGTCGATCCTGCGCGACGTCGCGCTCTTCTTCTCGCCGCCGGCGGCGGCGACGGCGGCGGGGCAGAGGCTCGAGGAGGGGACGGCCGAGTGGGAGCGTGCGAGGAGGAGGGTCGACAAGTACGTGTGGAGCGCGAGGGAGGACGAGGTGGTGCTCGAGGGGACGGACGAGGCGAGGGCGCGAGTCGACGAGCGCAAGGGCGCCGGGTCGGTCGAGCGCAGGAGGGAGTTCCTGCGGCGCGCCAAGATGACCAAGATTGCCGACCTGAGGGCGTCGTTGTACTCTCGCAAGGCCTAGCTGCTTCTCTCTGTCGTGTTGCCATCAACCCCATAGCTTTTCCGGCCGCTTCCTCTCGAGAGGGGCAAAGAGAGGGAACCGCGAGCGCGTGGAACAAGTACAGGCAAGCGTTGCAACTGCGACAGGACTGCGACGAGAAAGAGAGAAAGGGAGGGACACGCTGAAACGAGAGAGGTGCGGGGCGCTAGGAGGCGGTCGGGAGGACACTGCGATGAAGGGATAGGAGGAGGTCAGTGCGCGAAGAAAGAGAGGAAGCGACAGAGGCGAGAGAGAGAGAAAGCGCGAGACGCACTGGTCGTCGTCGATCGTCTGGTACAGGTGGCCGTCGTCGATGAGGGTCTGGTACTCCTGCCGGACGCGATCCTGGTTGCCGCCGACCTGGCGCAAGATCGAGTTGACGTTGACGCCCTCCTCGCCGGCCACGCCGGACGACACCTGCTCGGCGACGTACTGCATGACGCTGCGCTGCACGTTCGGCAGGTCGGCGTACGGGTCGCCGCCTGCGCCGCCTCCTGCGCCGCCGGCCGCGTACGGGTTGGCGGCCCCGCCGTCAAAGGTCGTCGCGTTGATCGAGTTCATGCCGCCGGTCGCTCCCCCGGGCTGTGTGGACAAGCTTCGTCAGGTCGACATTATCAGGAGAGGGGGGAAGAGAAAGGTGGGCGCACCGGGCCGTCCTTGTAGAACTTGTGGACGTAGATGGCCTCGATCGGGTGGAAGAGGATCTCGTTGAAGTCGTCGATGCGGCGGAAGCGGTTGACGTTGAGGTGGCGCTTGCCGTTGAACGACTTGAGCGAGCCGATGATGCGCACGTAAGTGTTGATCCTGTGGGCGCCGGGGCTGTGAGCGCGCGAATTGAGCGGGATGATAGAGAGAGCAGGGGACGCACGCAAAGTCGTCGTACGGGTTGCTCGTCTCCTCTGCGGCCGGGTCCTTCCAGCTCCTCGCGTCGACCTGGCCTGCGAGCGTGACGGACCTGGGTCAGGACGGGCGAGAGAGTCTCGGCGAAGAGGGGAGGGACGCACCCGTGCCGTCCTCGACGAGCATGTTGAGCTGCGTCTGCGTCGAGCTGACGTTGCGGATACAGGCGACGAGCGTGACCTGTGTGTAGGGCGAGTGAGCGTTGACGTCCGCTGCAAGCAGCGCCGTCTCTGGGAAGAGAGACGAGCGCGGCAAGGAGGAAGGGGGGGCTCACATCTTTGACCTCGGCGCCGTCAATGTAGAACTCGGCCTCGGCAAAGGCCTGCTCGGCGTTGAGCAGCTGGTGGATGGTGATGGGGCGCAGTGCCGACGAGCCGGTGCGCTGCGAGGTCGAGGTCGAAGTCAGCTGTCGGGCTCGAGGTTCACGAGGGCGAGGGAGGGACGGGGAGGGTGGGACGCACCTTGCCGCCGCCTGGACTGGACTGGCTGCCGCCCTGAGACATGAAACCGCCGCCTGCGTAGCCTGCGAGTGCGCCGAGGGCGAGGAGTCAGCGCCTGATGAGGAGGCGAGGTGCGAGGCCACGAGGCGGGCGCAGGGGGGCGAGGCGGGAGAGTCGAGGGACGTGTAGCGCACTCATGGTGTAGTTCTGGTGGGGCTAGTGGGTGCGTAGACGAGGTGCGGAGCGAGAGACGAGCGGCGACGAGATGAGAGCGCGTCGACCCGCGTCGTCGCCTGCCACCTCGTCGCCGTCGTCAGCTCGAGTCGTCGCAGAGAAGCCGTCTCGGCTACCGAGCAACTCTCGAGCGTCACGCGCCACGAGCAGACAGCCGAGCGAGTCGAGTCGAGAGACCGCTCGCTTCCCTCTCTCCTCGTCGCTCTCTCGCACGGTGCTTCTCGACGTCGGTCGCTCAAGGGCAGCCAGCACAGCTCCCTCGACCACCTCGACGACATCTCGGTCCCGTCTCTCGCTCCTCACCTCTCGGTCCTCGCCTCTCGCGCCTCAAAAGCCGAGTGATGTGTACAGCCTCGGGAGGCCGCGCGAGGGCGTCGAGTTGGCCGAGGCCTCGTTGCACAAACTGGCGGATGTACACCCGAGACGCCGGTCGATCCCAACGCGCACGCGAGCCTCCCGCAGCGAGAAACGTCTGGGAGCCCGAGAAAGAAGAGGAGGTCCGGGAGCGACGACGACGGGGGGTCGGTTTAACCCGACTTGCCCTGCGGCTGCTTGTTGCGCTGGACTGCTCGAGGAGGAATAGGACGAGAGAGAGGTCAGATCGACGTGGCGATTGCGCTGGACCGGGACGGGAGGGAGGAAAGGGCGACGCACCCTTGGCGCCCGGCGCGGCAGTGACCTGTAGGGGGGCAGGGACGGGTCAGGACGACGGTGACGACGACGACTGGGAGGAACGAGAGGGACGCACGTTTACGAAGCGCGAGTTGTAAAGGTGGCGCTTCTTGGCACGGCCAGTGACCTTCTTCTTCTTCTCCTGCGGCTCGACCTTGGGGGTCTGCGACTTGACCTTACCGGCACGGGCAAGCGATCCGTGAACCTTTCCCCTGCAGGATGGCGAGCGAGGGGTGCGTGTAGTCGGGCCGAGGTGGAGGAGGCGGAGGGGGAGGGGAGGGGGAGCGGCGACGGTCAGCTCGCCTGCACGGGTGGAACGCTCGAGGTGCTCAACTGGGTGCCCGCCCGCGCATCCGCCTCGCTCCTTCGTCCACCGATACGCCCGATCCGCGCCCTCGTTCCTGCGCAGGCGACGAGCCGCGTGCGCCGTCGCTCGCTGGAGCAAACTCCGCGCTAGCTCGCCGCCACCCCTCGTGCTCGTCCTGCGTCGACCGGCGGGGCGGGTGCGGGTGTTGACGGCGTCGAGGGTGGTCGGGTGTGCGAGCAAGTGGCGCAAAAGACTGACATGGTGTTGTCGAAGAGCGAGGCTGGAGGAGAAAGCGAGGGCGAGGCTCGCACTCGCTCGTCGCGGCAAGCTCGCCCCGGCCTCGTCCCTCTCTCACTCCGCCCACACTCAGCTCGCATCCAGCGCCCTGCTGCTGCGCACGACGCACCTCTACACGGCTACTGCTCCCTCCTCGCCCCATCGCCACCGGCTCACAGCCGTTCGTCGTCCGCCCCGCCCCCTCAGCTCTCCGCGGCACCTTCCACCCGCCCTCTCGCCCGCCTACCGCCATCCTGCGCCTGGTCCGCTCGCTACCGACCGTCGAGACGGCTCCTCGTGGCCCGCCGCCCACCTTTTCGTGCTCCCGCTCGAGGGTCTCGCTCCCACTCCTCCTCGCTTGCTTGACGGTCTCTGGCGCGTGAGCCAAGGTCTTCCGGCCGCGCTTTGCCGCTCTCGCGCCGCTCTGCACGCTTGCTAGCGGCTAGTGAGCGATGCCCTCGAAAGCGGGCTCGTCGCTGCATGAGGCGAGCGCACAGGCGAGCGACAAAACGGCTCATTACAAGCGAGGTTATGGAAGGTCAAGCGAAAGGTTGTAATGTCACGCCGGTCCCCTGAAAGCTATTGCCGAATACAAAAGTCAAGCGCGAGGTCGTAAGCTCGACAACTCGCGCCCCGCACCTCCTCACCCACGCCCAACTCGCCCGCACCGCTGCTGTGCCTTGCCGGCGCGTGTCCAGCTCATCTTCATCGCATCATCTATCTATGGGGCCTGCTCCCTCGCCGCCGCGAGCGGCCGCCGAGGGCGCAGGGCGCATCGCATCTTCATCAGTGACTCGCGTCGACCGACCTCTCTCGACTGGTGGCAACGGTCCATGGGCCTGTGGGCCACGTCGTCGAGGACTATCGCAGCATCAAAGAGACTACTGGGCCAGGCGGCTGCGCTGTCTGGGCTGTGGGCGACGGGTGCGTCCCCCTCCTCCCCGCCTCCCCGTGTTTGGCCCCCCTCTCTCTCTCCCCTCGCCCCCTCTGCTACCTCGCGTCGCTGTGCAGGAGTCTGGATGGACTGACCTGGTCACTCTGCAGGCGGAACGGCTGCGCAAGGCAAGCAGGGCGGTCTTCTGGGCGGCGCGAGGCGGGCTCTCGACCTCGAGGCGGCTCATGTTGTCCTTTGTACGTCCCGCGCACTCTCTTTCTTCCCTGCAGGACCTTCACATGGGTCTGTGCTCCTCGCCGAGCCGCTCACTGACCGTCTCGACCTCGCGCCGCAGGTTAGTCGCGCCCTCGATGGCACCTCCCCCTCGATGGCACCCCCCCTTCTCGGCCTCGAAAGCTTCCCCTCGCGCCCTTGCTGCGCCGCGCGACGGCGCCCTTTCCTTTCCGAAAGCTCTCCTCGTCCCTCGCGAGCGTTCCCGGACCGCAGAGAGTTCTTGTTCGTCGCCGCACTCGTCCCGATGGCTCAGCGAGTCGAGCCGTCGCGGACGGGTCCTTACGAGGCCGCGCGCGCCCTCACGTGCCCCTGAGGGCAGCGGGCGCACTGTGGTGAGCCGCTCGTACGGTGCGCACCCCTGCGGAGCGCCTGTACGCCCGGCCACCTACTAAAAACAGGGGGATCCTGCGCACCCTCGTTCAAACGTTAGCTCTTGATCTAGCAGGGTTACGGTGTTCTGCTCGCGCAGGATCGGACGACGACTTGTCTGCGGTGCAATCGAGCGCGTTTGCCGAGCTACTTTGTCGTGTAGAGCGCGAGTTGTGAGCCTCGCCTCCCTTCTCAAGTCAGTCGAGGAGCGACTCGATTGCAGCTCTTCCGGGCGGCTCTCTCTCTCGCGAGCTCTCTCCGTGCGTGTATTCGAGCGCGTTCTGAGCGAGAGAAGGTGTGGCGGCATTTGTCGTCGGCGCGAATCTCGTTCTCCTTCTCAGCTTCCTCTTTGCTCTTCTCGGCGCACCTGGTTGACGAGCTTTGCCGCTGCCCGCGATGTGAGTCATGGGACCTCGCCCAAATGTGAAAGCCTCGAGCCCACCCGAGGCGCAAAGAGCGGCTGCGCCGCGTGTCCTCGCCGTTCTCGTACGCCGGCTTTGCGGTCGCTCGGACCTCCTCTTCTCTCTTCGGACCCTCAGACTTTCTCGCTGCGGCCGGCTCATGCAGCACGATCTGGAAGCATGCTCTCGAGCGCAGTGTCTCGCTTTGGAAGCCAAGTGCTGCGGCAAAGAGAGCGTCGTTGCAAATCTCCTCCTCGCCGCCGCCGACGACTGGGCCGACGCCTCACTCCTGCTTCGGCACGACGGGCATGCGCTCCTTGCGCCGGTCGTCGAGCTCGGCCATGCGCTGCCACGCCTCCTTGCTGAGCGTCGTCTCGCCGTACGACAGGGCGAGCAGGCTGTGCGCGAGAGGGACGGGACGAGGCGAGGTCAGTACCGCTTCGAGCGCCTGACGGACGTGCGCCCGCTCGTTCGCGAAAGAAGGAGAGGTCGACGACAGAGAAGGGGAGAGGACGTACCGTGCAGCGCCGAGCCGGAAGAGCAAGTCGTCCTGCGACATGCCCTCGCCGCCGTGCGACGCCTGCCTGCGCTCGACAAAGTCGGTCTGGATGACCTGCATGTCGCGCAACCGTTTGAAATAGTCGTTAGTCTCGCTCGAGCCAGATGAAAGAAAGAGACCAGGAGAAAGGGAGGACGCACCTCGCCCATGCCCTCGGGAATGCTGAACTCGGCGTGCTTCATCTCGTCGATAAAGGACCGGAACTGGTCGAGCTTGGCCTGCGGCGGCGCCGAGGACGCGCGCTGAAAGTTGGCGGACGGCTTGACGTACACGACGCAGTCGGTCTGGCGGGCGAGAGGGAGGCAAAGAAAGTCAGGTCGAGCCCCGCGAGGGACAGGATGGGTCGACGGAACGAGAGACGCACGGGCACGATCGCCTTGCCCTCGCTGAGCAGCAGAAAGTTGAGGTCCGTCTCGAGGTCGAACGACGAGAACGGGAACTCGTACGCGAGCTTCTGCTGCGCGACCGTCGTCGCAAGGTGCCGCAGGTTCCGGACGCCTGTAGACGAGGTGCGAGCGGGGTCAGGACCGCGGCGCCGACTCGAGCTCGACAGAAGAAAGAGAGAGCCAGGGACGTACCGGTGTCCTCGAGCTTGCCCTCGCCAATCCCTCGCAGGTCGACGACGACGGCCGTCCCGTTGACGAGCTGCAGCCGGCCGCTGTCGAGGTTCTCGTCGCGGCTCCTCGGCGCCAGTCGCGTCTTGACGTCGTTGAGCAAGGCGATCGACAGGTCGAGAGATGTCGCCCTTGGCACGAGCGAGGCGATGGCGGACGGGAGCGAGGTCGAAAAGGCGTCGGGGAGGGCGAGATTGACCGAGAGGCTGCCGAGCGCCATGCCGGTAGCGTGACGCGCGTGGCTGCAGGTCGGGGGATTAGTCAAGGGCCCAGAGAGGGCGATCGAAGGACGGGACTCACATGCGGGCCAAGAGGGCGAGCAGCGTCCACTCGGCGGCATCGCTGTCGCCGCCGAGCTGGTCGGCCAAGTACGCGACGAGCTCCCGCCGCACCTCCTCGCGCGCGTTGACGTCGGCCTCGACGGTCGGGAGCGACGGCTTGGGCGCAGGGCGAGCGAGGATGACGTGCAGGGCGGGGACCGTGGGGCCGTCGTCGGCCGACTCGTTGAGCTCGTCGAAGACGTTGGTGAGGCTGCACGGAGAACGTCAGGTGCTGTCGTAGGGCGAGAGAAACAAGTGGGACGCACGTCGTGTCGCCGAGAACGCCGATAAAGTCGCACACGTCGGCCGTCTTGAGCGCCTCGGCCGACTCGCCGTAAAGCTGCGAGGGAAGAGCATGATCAGCGATACGCAAGGGCAGAGGGTAGAGAGCTGACGACGCACCTTTGCGACGAGGCCAAAGTGAGGCTCGGCAGGATTCGGGTGCTTGCTGCTGCTCGCGGTCGAGGGAGGTGCCGCTTGCGAGGCGCCGAGAGAAAGGCGATCGACCGAGCTCTGCAGGTCTGTTCACGGCTGCGAGTCAGTTCCTGTCTGAGCTACGATAGTGCGAGGAGGACGGGCCGTCGAGAGATGCGCCGTCGAGGTTCTGCGGAAGCGGCGAGTCAGGCGAGGACTTTATAGTAAGGGGAGAGGGAGCAGGGGCGCACCTGCTTGAGCCAGTCCGTCTCGCCCGGCACGCTCACGACGTACAGGAGCTGTCGCTCGCGCAAACGGCTGTAGTCGTCGGGCTGTCGGCGAGCGAGAGTCAGCTGACAAGGCCGCCGCGTCGAAGAGGGGAGGAACAGGACGCACCGCTGCCGCACCCGGGCCTTCCTCCTCGGCGCCGTACATGAGGACCTTCTTGCCGTCTGCGCTGACCGCCTCGAAGAGCTCTGCACCGAGCCCGGTGTCCTGCACCATCGCCCGGAACCGCACGAGGGATCCTGTCGGAGGGAGCGAGGTCGGGGTCGACAGGGACGTGATAGTCGGGATCTGCGCGGGCTCGCAATGGTCAGAGAGGTCCCGTTGGTGAGAACGAGAGCGAGTGCGCACCTGCTCGAGGGCGCCATCTGCCGAGATGAGGGCGGAGAGCGAGGCGGCGACGCGCTCGTCAAACCCGTCGAGGGACGCGTCTTGGGCGTACAGCTGCTGCACGAGCTCGGCAGGACGCTTGAGGGCAAGGTCGAGGTCGGCAAGCATGCTCAAGGTGTGATGAGCGGTGAGAGAGACGAGCGAGAGTTGTCATCTCTCGCTTGCAGCTCTCGTTCTCGAACAGGGCGCTCTCTGCAGCCCAGGGGACTCTGCAGCTCCATCAGTGAAGTTTGTAGATGCTCTGCTCGGGCGGCGAGCGGCGTGCAACCACCCGGAGCGAGCGCACTCGGCTTGCCTGCTCGAACCTCTCGCACTCGAAGCGCGCGCAGTCGAGGTTCTCGTCTCTCTCGTTGTCATGGCTCGAATTTGGACTCGCCCAGGCTATAGATCTCTCTGCTGAGTGCCGCTCGCCGAGCGAGAGGATCGAAGGACACGGGAGCGAGCGTCTCACGACGAGGAGAAGGGAAAATGCGTGAGGTGCAGGACGAAGAGGGCGTGATGCTACAAGGCACAGCGGCGAGGCGTACGGCGAAAGATGGTGGTGCGACGATGAACGGCGGGCTAGAGACAAGGGATGAACACGAAGGCGAGGGCGGGGCTAGTTGGGCCGCACGAAGACCTTCCAAGTCATGAAGGCGCCAAAGATGGCGAACGCGATGAGGCAGCCGACGATCTGCGGACGGGAGAAGCGTCAGTCAATGCTTCAAAGACGGCCTGTAGGCGGAGGGGGAGGGGAGAGGACGAGGAAGAGGAAACGAGGGGACGCACGCCAAAGAACCAGCCCAGGCCGTCGACGCCCTCGCCGGGCACGTGCACGTTCATGCCCCACAAACCGGTGACCAAGTTCATCTGCGGGGACGTGTCGAGAGCGTGAGCAACTGCGAGAGGGGAGGAGAGGGCTGAGAGACTTGGACGCACAGGGATGAGGACGGTACCGAGCGCCGTGAGCTTGGAGAGCACGTCGTTGATCTGGTTGTTGGCGTCGGTCCTGTCGATCGAGAAGTCGTCAGTACGCATTGAGAGGAGAGGAGGAAGAGGAACGGCAGACGCACATCTCGATCGAGATCTGGGCGAGGTAGTTCGAGTGCGAGCGTGACAGGATCTTCTCGTAGTGCGTCAAGTTCTGCGTGCTCGTCGTGATGTGGTCCTGGATGTCGGACAAGTACAGGCCCTGTGTGCGCGACGTTCGTCGAGGATCAGGTCCTGGGCTTGATGAGGAGAGAGGAGGGAGGGACGCACGATGTCCGACTTTGGCGCGACCGACCAATTCTCGTTGCAGCGCTTCGACAAACCCTTGACGACGTCGGCCTTGTTGCCCATGAGGCGCAGGAGGCCCATGACCTTCTTGCGGCACGTGCCGATTCTGCGGGCGGCGACGGCGACAACCTCGAGTCAGTCCCGCGCCGACGAGGAGAGCCGCACAGAGAAAGAGAGACGAGGACGCACCGCCGCAGCATGTCGCTCTGCTCGGCCTCCTTGAGGATGAGGACCAGCTCGTCGATCGAGTCGACCTCGTACTCGATGTTCTGGATCAGGGGCCCGAACGCGTCGGTGATGTCGTCGATGAGGGCGTACGAGATCCAGTCGGACGTGACGTTGATGTAGTCCTTGAGCTGCTTGATGCGTCGGCGGACGTTCTGCGGGTGGGGCGTGCCGCGGAAGTGGAACTGGGAGGGCAAGGGCGAGCGAGACGGTCAGGGACGGCGACCTCGGCGGCGAGGGAAAGGGGAACGAGATGGGAGGACGCACCGACAAGGTGCCCTCGCGGAAGACGATGATGTACATGTTGAGCGGCTCGAGGTAGGTGGGCGAGTACGGGTCTTGCTCGAACGACCGGAAGCAGACGAAGTAGTAGTTGCGGAAGAGCTCGATCTTCTCGCGCGTCTCCTCCATCTGGATGTCCTCGGTCGTGAGCGGGTGGATGCCGAACACCTGCAGGAGGGACCAAGAAAGAGTCAGTACAGCTCGCAGTGGGGCGAGAAGAGGAGGGAGGACGGACCTTGCTGAGGACCTTCATCTCCTGGTCGGTCGGGCACATGACGTCGAGCCACCAGGTGTTGGCCTCTGCGTCCTCGTCGCTGCGCATGACGCCCGTGCGAGGCTTCTCGCCCTGCATCATGCGCGCGTTCGAGATGCCCGACGGGAGGGCTCCTCCTCCTGCGCCGCCCGTGCCGCCGTTCTTCCTCGTCGAGCCCGCCATCGACGCGCCGTTGACCGGCGTCGCCGTGCCCGACCCTGCCGCCGTCCCGCCGGCACCGCCGCCGCCGCTGACCGTCGAGTGGCGCGGCGACGACAGCTCGGCCATGCGCGCGTCGAGGTTGCCCGTCGTCGGGCGCTCGTCCTCGTCGACGACCGGCGGCTGCCGACTGCCGAGGAACAGCTCCTCGAACGACTGGCCCTCGCCCGGGATCTCGGCGAGCGAGCGCGCGTGGATCGTCGACGGGAGCGCGTTCGAGTAGAACGAGAACCGGTACGGCCTCGGGCCGCCGACCTTGGCACCTCGCGCCGGACCGCCCGACGCCTCGCCGCCCTGCGTGCCGTAGCCGCCGGCGCCGGCGCCCGAGCCCACACCGCCGCCGTTGGCGGTCCGCTTGTCGGCGAGGAGCGGCGTCTTGGTGTCGAGGATGCTGACAAAGTGCGACTCGCCGCGCTGTGCGCGGTGCGGCTCGCCGACGAGGTCGTCGCCGGCGCCCTCGAACTGGGCGAGCTTGCGCCGCATGCGGCCGGGCGCGACGCTCTCGCTCAGCTTGCGGTGGCGGTGGCCGCCCATGCGCGGCACGTCGGCCTCGCTGCTGCTGCTCATCGGGCCGCCCGTGTACCGCCCGGCCGTCATGGTCGCCGACGAGACGCCGTAGTCGAGCGGCGAGCCCGACGAACCGGCCGCCGCCGCCGCCGGGCCGCCTTTGCGCCGTCGCGCGGCCGGGATCGGGAGCCCTTGCCGCTCGGACGTCGCGAACTCCTCGAGGACGCCAAAGTCGAACGGGAAGGGGAAGTTGGGGAGGACGCCGGCGAGCGGCATGTGGCCGTCTGGGTGGCCCTCGTGGAGGTCCATGTAGTCGAGCTCGGCGGCGGCGCCGTGCGCCGGGAAGCAGATGTCGTCCTCGGGCTTGCCGAAGCCGGACCCAGGGCGCGACATGTCGGCGCCGTACGGGGGCCCGTGCGACTCGTCGTCGGCGTCGCCGTGGCTGTGGCGCGAGTGGCGCGACGCGAACGAGTTCTGCGACGGGTGGCGGTCGAGGAACTGGACGGGACGGGGCGAGCGCGCAAGGTCGTCGTCGATGACGGCGTTCTCGTCGAGGTCGGTCGACACGAGCTGCTGCGCGCCTGTGCCGCCGCTGCTGCCGCCGCCGCCGCCGCGAGCGGTGCGCGACGAGTAGCCCGAGCCGTCGAAGTCGACGCCGCGCGGCGAGATGGGCGAACGCGCGCCGGGCTCGTCGTCGCTGACGCTGAAGCGGCGCAGGGCACTCGTGCGGCGTGCGCTGCCGCCGTAGGCGTCCGGGCTGCGGGCGAGCGCCTGCTGCGCTCGCGGCGTCGTCGTCGCGTGCGAGAGCGAGTGGGGCTGGCGGCGGTGATCGATGTAGGCGCCGCCCTGCGAGTCGATGCTCGAGTCGCTCACGTTGCGGTGGTGGCGGTACAGGCGGGCGGCGGCCGACGAGCGCACAGCCGAGCTCGGCGTGTGGTGGTGCTGCTGCTGCTGGGGGCCGACGATGCGGTGGGCGAGATCGTCCCGGCGGTTGTAGACGCCGGCCTGCTGCTCCTGCTCGGCGCGCTGCTCCTCCTCGTGGTCCTCGCGCGCGAGGTCGTCGGCGAGGTGGCCCATGGCGTCGTGGGCGTCGCCGCTGCCGAGGTGGACCGAGACGGACGGGCGCCTGCGGGACGACTGCGGGGCGACCGAGTCTTGCTGCTGCTGCTGGTGGCCGTGACCATGGCCCTGGCTGGACGAGGTCGCGCGCTGAGGGGTCGCGAGATCGGAGCCGCCGCCGGCCGACGAGAGGGCTTGGAGGGTCGGGCGGTCGCGGGTCGTGTTGCTGCGCGCGCGGCCCGCGTGGTTGGTGCTGGTGGCCATCGAGTGGGCGAGGTGGCGGTCCTGCTCGGCCTGGCGCGAGTCCTCGAGGCCGATGTCGCTCTCGGCGCGGGGGCTCGAGTGGGTGCTGGCGGCCGAGCCACGGCGGCGAGGGTTGCCGGATGGGGCGGCAGGAGGGGACGACATGGCTCGCGGTGTGGCCCGGCTCGGAGCCAGGAGCTGGCGAGGTGATGTGGGAGAGCGAGAGGCCGGAGAACTCGAGGACGAGGAGATGAGGCGGAGGGGCGTCCGCAGCTCGCTCTCTCGCTCGCGGTGCGACGGCGTGCAGTGCAGTATCTCTTGCGACATCTATCAAGACTGCTTGCCCAGGCGTGGACCAACCTGGAGAGGTGAGAGGTGCGCTCCTCCCCGCCGAGTCTCGTTCGACATCTCGCAGCTCTCTCTCCTCAACCACCGACAGCTATGCCGACCGCCAAGTGCACCCGCCGTGGCTGCGGCCAGACCTTCAACCCGGACGACAACGACTCGCCGGCGTGCAGCTTCCACCCGGGTGCTCCTGGTCCGTCTCGCCTTCCCTCGTCGCTCCTCTCAACCGCCCCAGACCGAGCTGAGGATGAGTCCCACTCGTGCGCGCAGTCTTCCACGAGGGCCTCAAGAGCTGGAGCTGCTGCTCGGCCGTCAACAAGCGTGAGCTCCCTCCTCACCTTCCATCGCCTCGTCGTCGAACCTCTCGGAAACGCCAACCTCGCCCGTGCAGCGAACTGACACTCGCCTCTCTGCCCCACGCAGCCGTGACCGACTTCGACGACTTCATGAAAATCCCGACCTGCGCGACCGGCACCCACTCGCTCGAGCTCGCAGAACCGCTCAAGCCCGTTGTGGACGCCTCGGCGCCGGCGCCCTCCTCCACCTCGGCCGACGGCAAGGAGGTCTACGGCGCAGCAGCATCGGCGTCGACCAAACCAGCGTCGGACCTCCCGCCATTGCCGCCCGCCCCCAAGCTCGCCCACCAGGACGCCGTCAAGGCGCCCAAGTCGACCGAGTACGTCGAGGAGCAGGACGACCCGGACGTCGAGCTCAAGAAGGGCATGCGCTGCAAGCGCAAGGCGTGCGGCGCCGAGTTCGACCACCAACAGCGCGAGGCGGGCGAGTGCACCTACCACCCGGGCGTCGTGCGTCCCCCTCTCGCTTTCATCTCGTCTCTCTCGACGGCGAGACCTGACCGTTTCTCTCGCCCCCGTACGCAGCCCATCTTCCACGAGGGCTCGAAGGGCTACTCGTGCTGCAAGCGGCGAGTGCTCGAGTTTGACGAGTTCCTCCGCATCGAGGGCTGCCGCTCGGGGCGCCACCTCTTTGTCGGCCCCAAAAAGGTCGACGACGGTCAGGAGGAGCTCGTCGACTGCCGCACCGACCACTACCAGACGCCGAGGACCGTCATCGTCAGCGTGTTCGGCAAGCAGGCCGACAAGGACAAGAGCGGTGTCAAGTTCGAGACCGAGGCGGTGCGTCCCTCCTCTCGCTCTCTATCCGACAGGTACTGACGACTCGCCTCTCGCAGATGCACGTCGACCTGATCCTCCCCTCGCGCAAGCGCTTCACCAAGTCGTTCCCGCTGTACGGCCCGATCGACCCCGCCGCGTCGACGTTCAAGGTCCTCGGCACCAAGTGCGAGATCACGCTCGCAAAGGCCGACGCGCGCTCGTGGCCGAGCATCACGACGCTCGACCCGGACCTCGCGAGCAAGTTCCAGATCCAGCTCGCCTTCTCGGCGGGAGGAGGGAGGGGCACGGTCGGCGCCAAGGAGGCTGTCCTCGACCAGACCAACCAGCTGTACAGGAACGCGGCGCAGTGACGGGCACGAGGGCTAGAGTATCGCAATGCAGCATCGTGTCGTTTCCACCGCGCTCGGCGTCCGGGCTCTCGTTCTCCCTCAACTTGTCGCCCGTCTTGCTCTCTCGCCCTCGCTCTCTCGCGCCGCTCTCGCCAGACCCGCGTCGGACAGGGAGAGTCAACAATGGAAGTACAGGACAGGTCGTGTACTGAAAAGAAAGGGTCTGTAGGTATGTTGCACTGCGGAAAGTCCTCCTCGTCCTCGTCGCGCCGTCGTCGTCGTCGCCTCGCCGCTCCTCGCGTCCGAGCTGCTCACCGGTCGGACCGAAGCTCACGAGATGGTGCAGGGGATGATGCACTGTGCGAGGGAACGATGGTGAGTGCGTGGGCGGGCAGGAAGCCGACGAGCAGAGGGCTCGGCGGAGGAGAGGGCTCGGGGAGACGAGGGGAAGCTGGACGCACGCAATCACAGTCCGGGCACCCGCACAAGCCCATGTTGAAGCATCCGCCGCGCAGGCGCATCGCCTCGTCGTGCGAGTGGCGGTCCGCGTCTTGGTCGGCGAGCTGGACCGTCGCGAGCGAATCCATGGCCTCGCGGTTGTGCTGCGCCGCCGCCAGCGACGAGTCTTGCGGTTGCAGTGCCGCCTGGAGCGAGTTCTGCGGCGGGTAGGCGGCGTTGGCGTTCATGGTCGGCTTGGTGGAGCGGTGCAGGCGGACGTCAGAGGGGGCTGCGCGGACGAGGAGACACTGCGGGCGGCTCACCTGGTGGCTCGTGGAGTCTGTAGAGCGGAACAGAGGGTGGGCAAGCTGGTGCGCGAGCAGGGGAGAGCGCGGGGGAGGGAGGAGGAGGCAACAGCAGCTGCGCGCGAGCGACGACTTGCGATGACGGCGACCGGCTCCTCCCCTCTTGCGGGCAGCGCGGCAAGCACTGCGCGGTGCTGCATGATACTATCGCAGAGGCTTTGAGGCAGTCGGTTCTTTTCGCGAAACGAGAATGGAGAGCTCTCCTCGTCGAGCGGGGGAAGGACGAGAACAACACGATGCAGCGACGCTCTATAGCTCTGCGTGGCTCGTCTAGACCCTCGTGCCCGGCAGCTCTGACGGCGAATAAACCTCCTGTCCCTCCTCCGCCTCGTGCCCGCGACGTTCCTCCTCGCCGCTCTGCCTCGACCGCGCTCGAGCCCGGTCGAGGCTGCGCTGATACTTGCGGGCCGCGCCGTGCTCGCGTTGACGACTGCGCTCCTCTCTGTGGAAGGCGACGAGTCAGTGAGGTGCGCAGAAAGGAACGAGGGCGAGAAGGGGACGCACTGCCGAAGGACGTTCGCCTGCGCCCTCTTGAACCGGTTCTCGAGGCGGAGCTCGCTCTTGTCCTGCTGCGTCGACCGGCCGGGCAGGATCCTCGCGCTGTCGCGGCGAGCGAGCGTCGTCGCGAGCCCGTTCTCGGCGAGGTCGTCCTGGCTCCTCGGGTTGTCGGCGAACCGGCGCTGGCGGCGCTTCTCGGGCGAGAGGGCAGTCCAGACCATGTTGTGGACGCTGTACAAGCCCATGGCGTCGGCGACCTCGTGCCCGGTAAAGTTGACGGGGCTGCGGCGAGGCGGGCAGGGTCAGACCTATGTAGAAGGGGGCGCGAGGGAAAGAGGAGGAGCGGGACGCACCTGCCGGGCCCGGTGAAGATGCACAGGTCGTACGCGAGTGCGCCGGCGATGCTGCCGACGGTAGGGCCGAGGATCGGCTGCGAGAGGAGGAAAGGCGAGTCAGGGGCGCGCTCGTCGCGTGAGAAGGGGAGAGAAAGGCGAGGACGCACGCCGACGAGCCACCACCAGTGGTCGTGGTACCACAGCTTCTTGCCGTATCCGAGTGTCCACAGGGCGAGTCGAGGACCGAGATCGCGAGCAGGGTTGATGGCGTAGCCTGTGCGACGGGGGCGAGTGCGTCAGTCGTCGTGCGGGGAGAGGCGCGGGCGAGGAGAAGGGTGGACGGACCAGAGATCCAGCCGTTCGACATGCCGATAGCGACGACGACAAACCCAAGGACGATGGCTCCGAGACCTGCACCAGGCGGCGCGTTGTTCTGTGCGCGAACGAGGCGAGTTAGGAAGGTTGACGACGACGAGGGGAAGCGGGCCGAGCGCACCTCGTCACCGAGCGCGAGGACCGCGATGCTCAAGATGCCGCCGGCGAGGATCTCCTGGCAGAAGCCCTCGATCGTAGATGATACGCCCTCGGACGGCGCCGTGATGAAGAGCGGCGCGCTCGCGTTCGAGTAGTCGGTCGGCTGAATGAGCTTGTACGAGTCGTACTCGCCGATTGCCCGGCGGTAGCTGCGCGCAAAGGAGAGTCAGGGTGGCTCGACAGAGAAGAGGGGAGGACATTGAGGCGACGCACTTTCCGTAGATGATGAGGGCGCCGCAGAACGCGCCGAGCACTTGAGCGAAGATGTATCGAGGCACCATCTGCAGGGGTCGACGCGAGGTGAGCTCGAGATGTCCAGGCTGCCAAGAAAGAGGGTGGGCAGCTCGCCTTCCAAGGGAAGCCTCGAAAGATGGCGAGCGTGACGGTGACGGCCGGGTTCGTGTGGCCACCGCTGCGAGGGAGCGAGGGTCAGATCGAGGTCGAGTCTTGAGGGGAGAGGCAGCACGACGCACGAGATACCGCCGGCGATGTCTGCAGGGGAGACGAAGGGCTCGAATCAGAAAGGGCGTCGGCAAGAGAGAGAGGGAGGAGGGACGCACAGAGCGCGATCATGACGCCGAAGCCCCACGACCAGTTCATCGACTGATAAGCGCCCATCTGAGAAAGACAGAGGGTCAGATGCGCTCGAGAGAATGCGAGAGGAACCTGGACGGACCGTCTCGAGGCTGATCTTGGTCTGGCAGTCGGCTGCGGGCGATTGAGGCGAGCGGTCAGTAGGCTCGCCGAGGCGCAGGAGCGAGAGCGTGACGCACCGCCGACACCGATGCAGACGAGGACGAGGGAACCTGAGGGGAGCGAGGGCCGTCAGACTCGACGCACGTACGAGAAACGGGAGGAACAAGGAGAGAAAGGCGGACGCACCGAGGAACTCGGCGAGCGGCTCGCGCAGCGCGTACCGCACCGTGCCCCACCAGTTGCGCACAGGTAGGTCCTCGGGATCCTCGACGTCCTCGGCCCACTGCTCGGCGCTTTGGTCGAGCTCGCCGCCGACGTTCGGGCCTCCTCGCCCCGCCTCGGCTCCTTCCGGCGGGCCCTCGCCGTCCTGCTCATCTCCTCGCTCCCGCTGACCCTTCTCGTCGCCCTTCTCGCCCTCGTCACCTGCGACTGTGCGCGAACTGCCCGAGTGCACCTTTTTGAGGCGCGCCTCGACCTCGTCGCCGACCTCGCTCCTCATCTCGTCCTTGAGCTGACGGCTCGAGTCGAGACCGTCGACGACGCGCTCGTCGTCGCCGTCGTCAGGAGGAGCACTCGCTCGGCGAGACCGCGTCGACGCCGTGGGCCCGAGTTCCTCGAACGGGTCCGTGCGCGCGCTGCCGACGCCGTCGCCCGTGCCGGCTCGTGGACGCGGCGCGGTATCGGTGTCGCTCGCCGTGTCCTCGGCGCCCGTCGAGTCGGACCGTGTGGCCGAGATCGAGTCGCCGCGCTCGGGGACGTAGGGAAGCTTGGCGGGCACGCGACGACCGCCGCCTCGACCGCCGCTGCCGCCGCCGTCCGAGCCCGAGCCCGAGTTCTGCGGCTGGGGCTGCTGCGACACGCTGCCCCTGCGCACGCCCTTCTCGCGCCCGTCGACGGTCGACCGGCGGCGCTTCTGGTTTTTGGGGAAGACGCCCCCGATGGCCCACACGGGCTTTTTGGCGCCGCCGCCGTCGCTCTTGCCCGCCGCCGCCTCGTCGCCGCTCAGGCTCGGCGAGAAGAAGGACCCGCCCTCGCCGGGGCCACCCATACCCGCGCCCGAGTGCGCCGAGCCGGGCGTGCGACCGCCCGAGTCGGCGCGCACGAAGCGCAGGTACGACTCGGGAACGCGCTGCAGCGTCGGGCCGGCGAGGTTGGACGGACGCGGACGCTCGGGCTTCTTGCCCTTCTTGGTCGCGGTCGAGGCGCGGGAAGGTGCAGTCGAGGGGGCAGAGGAGGTGGCAGAGTCGCCGCGCTGGGCGGCGGAAGGACGGCGGACGGCGGCGGCGGGAGGGGTGTGGTTGGGCGGGCGCGGGTACTGCGATGCACCGCTGGCGTGGCTCTCGCGCTGCTCGAGGCTGGCAAAGTCGGTGGACGAGGTCGAGCCGCTGTGGTGCGGCTGCGACGGGCGACGAGGAGGCTCGCGGTCGGTCGGCATCGGGTGCTGGCGGTGGTGGTCGATGGCGGGACTGGGTGACGGAGGCGAGCGCTGCTGGAGGCGGGTGTGCGAGGTGCGACTTGCTGAGAGGGCGAGAGCAGACCTCGAGCGAGCCTCGGAGGACGAGGGGAGCTTGGGCGGCACCGAGGAGCGAGCCGGCGCGGCGCACAGCCCGGCCCTGGGCGGTGCCTTGAATTGCGGCAGAAGAAGCTTCGGCAAGCGACGCCCGCAGCGAGGACGTCGAGGCGAGGCGAAGCGAAGAACGAGGGTGCGCTCGGCCGCAGCGTCGTCAGACAAGCGGGGCGCCGGCCGAGAACGCCAATCCGGACGCCATCGTTCGCAGCTTCCTCGCTTCCCTGCGAGCGGGCGGCCAGCCGCAAGAACAAGCTTGATCGGGCGGTGCGGTCCCGGAGCTGCGGGCCGGCGGAGAGGAAGCTGTCGGTCGAGCGAGGTCGAGCGCCACTGCGCGCGTGATTACAAAGTCAGAGGCGAGGCACATTAGCTTTCCTTACCGGTCGGTCGCACTTAGCAACGCATTACTATTCGACGGCTTGATCGGGAATAGCTTTTTCTCTCCCCCTCGCCCGCTCTCCCCGCTCGTCCGCCTCTGGCCACACCGCCCGCCATGCCTCACGCCGACAGCCTCGCCCTGCCAGATGGCCTCACCGACAAGCGCGCCTTCTACGAGCACGTCTGCACCGTCGCCGAGGCGCTCCTCGCGCCCTCATCTCCTTCCGACCCGGCGGCCAACTGGATCACGGTCCTGAGCAACGCCGCGTCGCTCCTGTTCGGCAGCTTCGAGAACTACGAGGCTGCGTTCGGCCGCGCAAACGGGCGCAGGGTCAACTGGGCAGGTGCGCTCCCCTTTCTCTCGCTCTCGCTCCGACGACGAGGCGGTGCTGACCACGAGCGATTTGCAGGCTTCTACCTCGTCCCCTCGCTCCTGTCCCGCCACGCACCCTCGACCGACCCGACGCAGCTCCTCCTCGGACCCTTCCACGGCCGCCCGGCGTGCAACTCGGTCTCGCTCCAGGGGACCTCGTCGCGACCGGTCGGCGTCTGCGCGGCCGCCTTCTTGTCAGGCGAGACGGTCGTCGTGCCGGATGTCGAGGCGCGGCCGGGCCACATCGCGTGCGACGGCGTGACTAAGAGCGAGGTCGTGGTGCCAGTCGTCGTCCGACGAGCGCGCGAGGACGGGACGGTCGAGGACGTCAAGGTCGGCGTGCTCGACATCGACTGCGAGGGCCTGAACGCGTTCGACGACGAGGTGGACAGGGCGGGGTTGGAGCAGTTTGTCGAGGTCGTCAAGCGGGTCGTGCGGTGGGAGCTGTGAGGGAGGGGGTGCGGGATGCTGGTGCGAGGAGGGTACAGGAGGCTGCCGAGGCGGTCAGTGCGGAACAGGTGCGGTCGCAGAATGAGTAGAGGCACGCACAGAATAGATGAACAACATGGACGCCGCGAGACGAGAGGAATTCAGGACATGTCGACGTCGAGGCCGCCGCTTGCGCCCCAGCTGCCAAGCACGTCGACGAGGTCACTCAGCTCGGCCTCCTGACCCTTGTCGACCTCCTTCATCGTCTGCAGAAGTTCGAGAGAGTCAGCTCTGCCACTGAGGGTAGAAGAGAGAGAGAGAGAGCAGGGCGCACCTTCCACTCGTCGACGAGCTGCTCGACGCCGATTTCCTCGGTCGTAAAGTCGGCGAGCACCTCCCTGCGGACGCTCGAGGGGTCAGCTCGTCTGCAGGGAAGGGGAAAAGGTCGACGAGGACGGACCGGAGCCGGATCATCTCGGCCTGGTACTGGGCAAAGAGGCCGCTGACATGGACGAGGGCCTCCCTCGGGTTGAGGCCGTGCTGGAGCGCGCTCTGCGGCTGGGCGAGGAACAGGTCGGCGTCGAACAGGAGGCTGTTGAGCTGCTCGACGTCGCGCTCCATGCGGCCGAGGTCGTCCCTCACGGCGCCGAGCGTCTCCTCGATCGTCTCCTGCACCTTGACCATGCCGCGCTCGCGGATGCCGCCTTCGGGTCGGGAGCGGGTGACCGGGGTCGCGGGGAGGGCGAGGAGGTTCTGCAGCTGCGAGAAGGCCGACGCGATGACCTGCACCGACTGGAACGACGAGGCGTGGTGGCCGTTGAACGCGCGAGAGAGGGCGTCGGCGCGGTTGAGCAGGGCCGACAGCGTCTGGTTCTGCGAGGGCTGCGCCTGCGACTCGAAGCCGGCGAACGCGGACATGGCGAGCAGTGGTGGAGAGGAGATCGAGGTGGGCGCCCGGGTTGAGCGATGAGGACGAGGAGACGCTCTCTGCTGCGGGCGGTGCAGCGCGCGCTCGCAGACGATGTTGAAGCGCTTCTATTGAGCTTGGCTGGCTCGAAAACAGCGCGCAAGTCGAGGCCACTCTCGAAGAGACGGCCCGGGAGCGGCGACGAGGAGGAACACGAGGGGGATGCACGACGCTCCCTGTCTGCAGCCTGCTACAACAGCTATAGAAGGACAAAGAGTGGACGAGAGGGCAGACCAGCAAAGGCCTCCTCTCACTCAGGATGCGGCACGCACACGGACCCGCCCGGCTCGACATTCCTCCTCCGCGAGACCGCTCCGTCTCGCCGCTCACACGCTGCTCAGGATGCGCAGTCGGTCGCCTTTTAGATGAGGAGACGCTCGATCTGGCCCTGTAGGCGGGAGAGAGGGAAAGGGTCGAGTTAGCAAGGGCGCACAAGGAAGGGGAGGGACACGAGGAGGCGAGGGAGGGGACGCACCTTGATCGTGTCGATCTGGCTGCGGAGCTCACGAGCCTCGTTGGTCGTGATCGACGCGGCGATGACGGGGCGCGAGACGCCGCACGCACGCCCGAGGGCCGTCTTGGACGGGACGAAGACGTAGGGCACGTTCTTGTCCTCGCACAGGAGCGGGAGGTGGAGGAGGATCTCGATCGGCTCGGTGTCTGCAGGCGCGAGAGCAAAAGTGTCAGTGTCGAGCCCGCATCCTCAACCGGCACTGTCCATCGACGCTTGGCGAAAGGAAGCACAGGACGAGAGAAGGCGAGACTCGACGCACCGGCGGTCATGACGATGAACTCGCAGATGCCGCGGTTGAGGGTCTGCAAGAGGAAGGAGAGGGTCAGGAGTGTACTAAGGGCGGATCTGTCGCCTGTGCAAGGGAAGAGGGAGCGCACCTTGGTCGCCTCGTTGGCACCCTTCTTGAGCTGTAATTATCGCGCACCATGGGCCACACAGGTCAGCTCACGCTCACTCGAGCAGTCCAGTGGACAGTCCTGGGCGCACCTGCTTGTAGTGCGAGGCCTGTGGGAGGGACGGGGCGGGTCAGCAAGGCGGGGGAGGGGAGAGGGAAGGGAGAGGTGTGCGCACCTGCTGCACGAGGTCCAGGATCTGGTTCGTGAGGGCGGCGTCGGCGAGCGGGAAAGCCTTGGGGTTCGTCTCAGCCTGCACGAGGGGGAGGGAGGGGAGACGAGGACGGGTCAGGCTCGAGCTCGGGAGATGAGAACGGCGGGAGGCGAGGGGGAGGCTTGCGGCCAGCGGGCCGGCACCGCGGACGCACCATTGTAGTTGTTGAAGGTTTGCGAGCTCACACGGAGATCACGGCTCGGGGAGAGAGATGGGGGAGGAGCGAGAGCGGCGAGCTCCCCTGTCCTCCTCCTCCTCGGGTCGACTGTGAGCCACGTGCGGCCAATTGCGAGACTCTTTCGCTTGCAAAGGACAGAGGAACCGCGCTAGTTACAGGGTATCGCACAGCTAGGACACGGACCGCAAGCACTCGAGGCGACCACCGCTACTCGCGCTTCTCCTCCTCCTCGACCTGCGCGCCGTCGCTCGCTCGTCCCTCCTTCTCGGCCTCGTCCTCGTCGACGATCTCCCTCTCGGCACCCTGCGCCCCGCTCACCGGCGCCGCCTCGCCCTCGCCGTCCTCGGCCGCGACCGCGCCGGTCGTCAGCGGCGGCGGAAAGAAAGCCGGGAGCGCGTCGAGGTAGCTGTCGACGTCGACCTGGCGGAACACGCAAAAGACGACCTTGTCGATCTGTAGAAGGAGGACGCGGACCGCGGTCCAAGGGAAGGGTCAGGCGACGTCTCGTGCGGGTGGAAGGGGCGCGGGGAGGAGGAGGACAGTGCGGCACACCTTGTCGCCGTTGGGCCCATCGAGGAACTTGCGCACCTCGTCGCACGCCGTCTCGGCGGCGGCATCGATCGGGTAGCCGTAGCTGTAGGACAGACGGCGCGTGTCAGTAGGGGCCTGTGCGTCGCGACGACCGAGTGCACCTTTCGCGCCGGCCGCGCGTCGACGGCGAGCCGGGAACGACGTCGCCAACGGAAGAGAGAGTGAGACGTACATGCCCGTGCTGATGCCGGAAAAGGCGACCGTCTTGATGCCGTTCTCGACGCATAGGTCGAGCGTCGAGCGGTAGCAGCTGCGGAGCAGCCTCTCGCACTCGGCTTTGCTGCCGCTGCTGCGGTAGATGGGCCCGACCGTGTGGGCAATGTGCTTGGCGGGAAGGCGGTAGCCGGCGGTGAGCTTGGTCTCGCCCGTGTTGGCGCCGTCGAGGGTGCGGCACTCGTCGAGGAGGTCGGGGCCGGCTGCAGCGTGAATGGCGCCGTCGACTGCGGGGTGGGCAGGAGCCTCAGTCTCGGACTCTCTGACATCGAGCTCGACCACCTGCGCGTCACAGGCGGCCGAAAGAGAGAGAGGGAGAGCGGACGGACCTCCTCCTCCACCGAGCAGGCTCTTGTTGGCCGCGTTGACGATGCAGTCGACCTCGAGCTTCTGTGGAAAGAGGCCGAACGGGTCGACGAGTCAGTCATCCGTGTGTGAAGGACTCGAACGCCGGAACGCACGGTGATGTCGCCGCGCCTGCAGGGAGGAGAGGAAGGTTCAGCGACTCGAGCGGGTCTCTTTGAGCGAAAGAGGAAGACGAGGACGCACCAGAGGATGACCTTGTCGTTGACGTGGGCGTTGCGCGGGTACTCGACCTCGTCCGGGTCGTCGCACGCCTTGAGCGAGCCGTCGTCGAACAGGCGGGCAACCGTGTCGAGGTCGTCGAGGTGGACGCCGGTCGAGCGGGTGCTCGTGGTCGACTGTTGCGAGTCGTCTTTGCTCTGCTTCTTGGTGTCGGAGCTGTTCTGCGGTTCAGCGCGCTGGTAGTCGTCGGTGTCGGTGGGTGCACCGCCTCGGGACGAGGGTGGTTCGTCGGCGCGCTGAGGGGCAGGGTCGTGGTCGAGCCTGGGCTCCTTGACGGGTGCTGCAGCAGTGTCGGCCATGCTGGGAGAGGGCGAGCGCTTGGCCATGGAGCGAGAGGGCGAGCGAGAGGGAGACGAGCGAGCGGGGCAATACTATTCTCGAGAGGTTACGCTCGAGTTTGTAATGGGGACAATACGAACCGACGGCTTGCGACGCCCTCCGCCTCCGGCTCGCTCCCTCACCACCAGCACGCTCACGCCATGGCTGAAGCAGGCAGCTCGACCCAGCAGTACTCGCCAGAGAAGGAGCAGGCCCTCCAGGCCTACCGTCGGGTCCGTCCCGCTCTCCCTCACTCCCCCCCCTCGTCTCATCATCGCTCGCTCGAGCGACCCACCTCGCACCTGCTGACCCGCACCTGCCTTCTACACACCCGCAGAAACTCAAGGAGCACGAGGAGCTCGACACCAACCTCAAGAAGAGTGCGTCCCGCTCTCTCTCTCTCTCCCCCTCCTCCACCGTCTCGAGATGACGCTCACCTCTCGCTCCCCTACTTGCAGGTGCGCCTCCCTCGACCGCTCGCGCACTCGACTGCGCAAAACACGGCATTGACACCCGCATTCCCCTCCTGCAGTCCGCCTCTCGCTCAAGGACCTCGAGCGCGACTTCGACAAGTCCGAGGACGACATCAAGGCCCTTCAGTCGGTCGGCCAGATCGTCGGCGAGGTCCTCAAGCAGCTTGACGAGGAGCGATGTGCGTCCACGCGCCTCTCCCTCGTCCTGCAGGCCGCCAGGCTGACCGCTCCCACCTGCCCCCGCAGTCATCGTCAAGGCGTCGTCCGGCCCGCGCTATGTCGTCGGCTGCAGGAGTGCCGTCCCCAAGGACAAGCTCAAGAACGGCATTCGCGTCTCGCTCGACATGACGACCCTCACCATCATGCGGTCCGTCCCCTCTCCGCCTCTCTGCCGCTCGTCAACTCGGCTCACCCTTTCTCTTTTCCCCGTCCTGCAGCATCCTGCCGACCGAGGTCGACCCGCTCGTGTACAACATGACGATGGAGGACCCGTCTGGCGCGAGCTTTGGCGGCGTCGGTGGTCTCGGTGACCAGATCCGCGAGTTGCGAGAGGTGCGCCCCACGTCCTCCCTCTCGTTTCTCGCGCCCTCTACACGCAGAGCGTCCAACTGACTCTCCTCTGCTTCTGCAGGTGATCGAGCTACCGTTGATGAACCCGGAACTCTTCATGCGCGTCGGCATCAAGCCACCAAAGGGTGCGTCCCGCCGTTCCTCGTCGTCCGGCGCGCCTGCTCGTTGGCGAGACTGACCTCTCTCTCTTGTCCCTCCAGGTGTCCTCCTGTACGGCCCTCCCGGTACGGGCAAGACGCTCCTCGCCAAGGCCGTCGCGGCGACGCTGTCGACCAACTTCCTCAAGGTCGTCTCGTCGGCCATTGTCGACAAGTACATTGGCGAGTCGGCGCGCCTCATCCGCGAGATGTTCAGCTACGCCAAGGAGCACGAGCCGTGCATCATCTTCATGGACGAGATCGACGCCATCGGCGGCCGCAGGTTCAGCGAGGGCACGTCGGCCGACCGCGAGATCCAGCGCACCCTCATGGAGCTCCTCAACCAGCTCGACGGCTTCGACTACCTCGGCAGGACCAAGGTCATCTTTGCCACCAACCGGCCCGACACGCTCGACCCGGCGCTCATGCGCCCGGGCCGCATCGACCGAAAGATCGAGATTCCCCTCCCGAACGAGGTGGCGCGCATGGAGATTCTCAAGATCCACGCCCAGCCGATCCGCAAGTCGGGCGAGATCGACTACGAGGCTGTCGTTAAGCTGTCCGAGGGCTTCAACGGCGCCGACTTGCGCAACCTGTGCACCGAGGCCGGCATGTTTGCCATCCGGTCCGTCCTCTCTCCTCCTCTCCCTTCTCTCCTTCTTCCTGTCGCCTTCTCCTGACCTCGTCTTCTCTCTCTCTCTCTCTCTCTCGCCCTCGTGTGCAGCGACGAGCGGGATTACTGCGTCCAGGACGACTTCCTCAAGGGCGCGCGCAAGCTGCAGGACGCCAAGAAGCATGTGCGCCTCGAACTCTCTCCTCTCCCTCTCGTTCCCCTGCATGACTCTGACCGCCTCTCATTGCGCAGGAGACGATCTTGGAGTACGACGATGTCTGATCTCGAGGACAAGGATGAGGAGGAGGGCCTTGCTCGAGTCTGCAACGACGTGCCCGCTTTCGTGACCCTACCTCGCGCTCGAGAGCTCTCGATTGCGCAACGCGTCCCTCTCTACGTCTTCTCTACGCTTTCACGACGTTCCTCATAGAGAGAGAGAGAGCATAGGCAGGTTGCGCGACGACGTAACGAGGCTGCTGGTGGCTCGAAGAGCAGGGCGATTTTCGGCGCGCAGCTCTCGATGAAGGATGAACGGCAATCCAGTTGCACGAGGAGATACCGACAAAGACAGACGAGAGATCGAGAGAGAGGGCAAAGAGGAGTGGTACAGAAAGAAAGGGGGAGGAACAGGAGAGCTCGAGGGGGCCCGTGCGGCGCTCGCGACCTTCTCAAGCGTTGACGGCCCGCAGAGCCTTCCCGCTGTTGGTCGCCGCCGCGGCCTCCTTCTCGGCAGCGAGCTTGGCGCGCCGCAGCTCGGCCGCCTTGTTGAGCCGCGGCGCGACGACGGGCGCTGCGGCCGACGACGTCCTGCGCGCGGTCGTCGCCGACGACGGCCTCGCTACGGCGCCGCCGCCGACGCTCGAGGGCGCAGTCGTGGTCGTCGACGTCGTCGAGGACGACGCGAGCGACGGTCGACCGCTGCTGCTGCCGCTGCGCGAGGCCGCAGTCGGCGCCGACGCGCCGCCCGCGCGCAAGCTCGCCGCCTTGGTCATGCGCGGCGCGAGCGCCGGCTCGCGCAGCGCCTTGACGCTAGCCGGGGCCGGGCTCGAGCGGCGAGTCGAGAGCGGTGGGGCGACCGGGGCTGGGGCCGAGGAGGCCGAGCGCGCGGGCGCGGACGAAGAAGGGGCAGGCACGCCCTGGCGCAGGAAGGCGGCGCGCGACATGCGGACCTGCGGCGCTGCAGCTGCCGAGGGAGGCGGCGCCGAGTTCGGAGCCGTGCTGCCCCGGCGCGCGAGCCGGTCCATGGCTGCGCGCTCGGCCGTCGAGATGCTCTTGCGGCTCTTGGTCGCCGTCGCGCTCGCCGCCTGGCCGCTCGGCGTCGGCGCACGAGGCGCTTTGCGAGCGGCGGCGGTTGCGGCCGGCTCGGCGGCGGTGCGCAGCGAGGCGGTCTTGGTCATGCGGGGCGTGATGGCGGGTTTGGCGAGCGAACGAGGCGTGGGCACGACCGAGGGGCGACGGGCGCTCGTCGTCGTCGCCGAGGTGGTCGCAGAGCTGCTGGTGACGGATGAGGACGGGGCGGCCGAGCGGCGAGGCGTGCTGGGCGGGAGCGAGACGCCGAGGCGCAGGGCCGCCGCCTTGGTGAGGCGCGGGTGGACGGTCGGCGCGGCCGTTGGTGCTGGACGAGCGCGAAACGAGGAGGTGGACGAGGTGATAGAGGTGCCCGACGCGACCGACGCGGTGCGCAGGAGGGGCGGCGCGGCTGATGAGGTGGACGCGGCGAGAGGCGCGAGCGCAACGTCCCCGTCGGCCTCGTTCTCGACGACCTCGCGCGGCGTCTCGTCCTCCTCCTTGTCGACCGCCTCCTCCTGCTGCTGCTCGTCCTCGTTCTCGAGCTCCTCCTCGCTCGAGTCGGGCGCCCTCGTCGTGAACACGCGCCGCTCGCCCTCGGCCGGCGTCGCCGAGACCGGGTGCTTGACGCCCGGCGGCGACGCGGTCCTCAGCGTCGCCGGCGACGCCGTGCTCCCGCGACTGCTCCGGCTCGCCTTGCGCAGGCGCTCGTGCTCCTCGCGCTGCTCGAGCTCGGCGAGCGCCTTCTCGATCGAGGGCGACAGCTGGCGCGTCGACGGCTTGGTCGGCGTCGCGTCCTGCGCGGCCGAGAAGGCGAGGTTCGACAGCGCGAACGGCTTGGGCTTGTCCTCGACGGTCGGCGACGCGGGGAAGTCGATCGTGGTCGGCGAGGGACGGGCGACGAGCGGAGGAAGCGCAGGGAAGAGGACGTCGATGGCCATGACGGCGGCGGCGGCGGACGGGGCGGCGAACAGGCGCAAAGTAGGGCACTCGTCGGCGATGCTGCGCCATGCAGAAAGGTCAGTGAGACTCGGTGGGGCCGGCAGAGAGGGACGAGGGGACGCACGCTCGAGCCTTGACGTCCTTGAGCACGGCGGCGGCGTTGGTGCGCTCGAGCACCCAAGCCGTGTGCACCAGGCCATCGTTGTCGTGCTGTTGGCCGTCGCCCACGCCCAGGCCGAGGTCGAGACCGGCCTCCTCGAGCTCGTCGCCGGCCGCGTCGGCCTCGGCGATGAGGGTGAACCCGGCGTCGACGAGGATCTGGCGAACGTAGGGGGCCTTGAGGCGGTTCTCGGGGGCAAACAGGACTGCGAGGGTGCGCTCGCGAGGCGCTGGCGATGGCGAAGGCGAAGAGGACATGCCGGCCGGATCTCGGTGTTGTCGAGGGGCGGGTGCGGCGCGAGAGCGCGGCGGTGCGCTCGAGGGTGGCTGTCGAGGGGCTCGTTCGAGCCTGTCAGAGGTCGGCAGGCGTGCAGAGCGGCTGCCGAGAGTGAGGGAGCGGGACCAAGGCGCGAGCTGTGGGGGCGCGAGCAGTTCAACGACCCTCGTCCGCTCGACCACCGCTCCCGGCGAGGGCAAGAGCTCTTCCTGGTGCATTGCAAGCGCTCAAGACGCGTCTCTGCACAGCGAGCGGCTGGTGAAGGGTCGGACCGACCTCCCTTTCTCTCGAGTCCTCGTCGCGACTGATGAGACGACAACGCCTCGGCTATACAGTACATCCGGCCCAGCTGTACACAAGCCCGACAGCTCACTGCTCTTCCTCGGCTGCCCGTCGCCGGCGCCGCTCCTCCCTGCGCTTCCTGCGCTCCTCCCTCTCCCTCAGCATCTCGTCCTCCTCGACCGCGAGGCTCTCGTCCGGCTCCTGCTCCTCCTCCCGCTTGCGCCGCTCCTCCCTCTTCCTCCTGCGGCGCTCCTTGTCCCTCTTGCGCCGCTCGCGCGCCTCCTCGTCCTCGACCTCGGCCTCGAACGGCGCCGGCAGCGCACGCGCCGCGAACCACTCGCGCAGGCCCGTCGCGCCTCGCGACACCGTGTCCGTCAAGCTCTGCACCCGCGGATCGGCAACGATGCTCTCGCCGAGGAGCTTGACGGCCGCGAGCACGCTCGGGCTCGTCGGCGTCGACGGGCTCGGCGCCGCACGCGGGTCGGTCGGCGTCACGAGCGCGGCGCCAGCCTCGGCGCCGCCGGGCGCACCCTTCTTGCCGCTGCTCCGACGAGAGCTCGTCGACGTCGTGTCGAGCGTGAGGGCGGGCGAGGCGGCGGCGCGCAGGGCGTTGCGCTCCGTGTTGTCGCGCAGCTCGATCGCCTGCTTCTCCTCGCGCTGCTTGAGCTCGGCGTCGAGGTCGACGCCCTGCTGGAACGTGTCGCGGCGCACTCGACGACGCAGGCGTGGGTCTGCGCCGTCGTCGTCGCCGAGCGTCGGGACGAGGTCGGTCGCGGTCGGGCCCTCGAGCTGGACGCGTACAGGCCAGAACTTGCGCGCCTTGGCCGCCCATTCCGAGACGGCCGACGCCGAGGCCGGAAGGTTGGTCCAGGTCGTCAGGCTTGCGTCGGCGCCAGTCGCCGAGTCGGGAAAGACCTTGCAGGTCGAGGACGAGGACGGGAGGGAGGTGACGAAGAGGTGGACGTAGGGCGAGTGCGCCTCTGTAACGTCGAGCGTGAGCGCCTGCTCTGTCCATGCTTTCCAGACGACGAGAGAGACGAAAGGGGACGCACCGGCTGGCGGGCCCTGGAACCGAATCATGAACTCGCCGCGCGCTTTGACCTCCTGCGCCTCGAGAAAGGCGTCGAGGTTCTCCTTGAACTGCGCGCGCACGAGCTCGAGTCAAGCTCGCTCCCTTGCTGAGATCAGAGAGCTTCAGGACGCACCTGCTCCTTCTGCAGAGCGTGAGCGAACCGGCCCTTGATCGTCTTGCGGCTCGTGTCAAGGTCTTGCAGGTACCCGGCGAGCCGCAGGCCCTCGCGGAACGTGTCGTCCTCGAGCGGGTTCCTCGCGCCCGGACCCTTGTCGTCGTCGAGGTCGTCGATGGAGAGCGGGATCATGCGCGTCATGCTGCGCTTGGGCGCCGGTCGACCGACGGGAGGAGGCGCGAGACGAGTCGACGGGCGAGGGACGCGCACGAACGGGCGGGTGCGCTCGACCTGCACCTCGACCTCGCACGCTGCGCGTATCGACGCTGAAGCTTCGAGGACGCCATCCCTGAGCGCGAACGAGGTGGCTGTGAGCGGGAAAAGGACGGTCAGCTCTCGCTCGAGTTGGCGACGGGAGGAAGGAGCGGAACGTTGGACGCACAGCGGCTGCGAGGCCTGTCGTCTTGACCGGCAAGAGCGAGCGCATCGAGAGCGTCTGGGCCGCGAAAGTCGGCGGGTGGCTCGAACGCTGGGCGCGAGAGCGAGGCTGCGAAGGTGGACGACGAGGAAGGTCAGGCTCGGCGGCTTCGCGTGCAGTGCGGACTGCGACGACGCACCTGAGCGACGGCGACTCATGCCGGCTGGACGAGCAGAAGCAAGAACGAGAAGCAGGGCCGCAGCCGGCGACGGCAAGCAGCGACGGACGGACAGGAGCCGTCCCCGACCGGCAAGTCCGAAAGAGGGCTCGAGCGGACGAAGCCACGCTCCCCGCGCTCTCCTCTCATCGCGATCGGGACGGACGACGACGGACGGACGGTCGCATTGGCACAACGAGGAGGAGGCGAGCGAGAGAGGGAATCTGGTGCGCGCTCGGCGCGACGGGGAGAGGGAGGGGGAGGGGGAGGAAAGGGAGCGAAGGAGGGGGTATCAAGAGCGTACGAGGGGGGGTGACGGGACCGAAATGAGGACGAGAGAGGGAAGAGGAGGCTCATGCGCCGACGTGCTGCGCCTGCTGCGACTTGGCGGCCGACGACTCTTTGAGGGCGAGGAGCTGCTTCGACCGGAACGCCTCGTAGTGGATCTGAGCCGTCGTCTCGATCAAGTCTTGCAGGTGCGTGCTGCGAACGGCGGGTCGATTCAGTCACTGCCGTCGCGCAACCTGAACTCGGTAAGGGGGCGGGGGCGCACCGAGTCAAAAAGTTGCGCAGGTAGTTGAAGTCGCAGTGCGCCTCGTTCTCGACGTTGACGACGCCCCACCGGTTCTTGCGGCCTCGGACGGGCTTGCCGTCGACGATCACGTTGCGCTCCGAGCCGACGACGGCGAACGGCATCATGTTCTGCGCGACGTCCGGGTCAGTCGCCGTCGAGAAGGTTCGCTCTCGTGCAGGCAGGGGCAAGGGGGAGAGGAGGGACGCACCCGAATGGCGCCGTTGAGCTGCCTCTCCTCGTCGTCGTTCTCCTCCGTGTCGAACGGGTAGACGCGGATCTGGTGGTGCGCCAACTCGGCCCGGATCTGCGCAGCGCGATGCCGAGGAGGCAGAGAGCGTCAGTCACCTGACGAGTGAGGACCCAGATGCAGAGAGCGGCTCGACGCACACGCTGCTTGAACGCCTCGCGCTCCTCGAGCGTCAGGCTGTCGCTCTTGGCGATGACGGGCACGACGTTGACGACCTCCGACAGGCGCTTCATGACGACAATGTCGATCGCCTTGAGCGTGTGGCCCGTCGGCGCGATAAAGTAGAGCGCGGCGTGGATGCGCGTGTCGGGAATGTGCTTGTCGCGCATGGCCGTGAGCTCCTTGCGCAGGTACGCCGAGTGCTGGTCCTTGATGTACTTGACGATCGGGTCCCAGCTGTCGCGACGAAGGAGGTTAGCGTGACTCTGGCACGGGCGACGCAGAGGGAGAGGGGGCGCACCAGTTCTCGTTGTTGACGAGGTCGCCGTACCCTGGCGTGTCGACGATGTTGAGCCGCAGGCGGACGGCGTTCTCCTGGACGACTGCGATTGGTCTCTGAGTGTCAGGGCCGATCTGAAAGAGGCCGCACTTTCTCAAGCTGCGCGCGCAAAGCGAGAGGGCATTGGGGGAGTAGGAGAGAGGGCTTCGACGCACTGTGCGAGACGGCCTGGATCTCGGTCGTCTGGCGGATGGGCTCGTCGGCCTCGAGGCGGCCCTTGGTGTCGATGAGGTGCGAGGCGAAGATCGTGTTGATCAGGGTCGACTTGCCCAGACCGGTCTGGCCTGTGAGGTGGGGAGGAGGAGGAGGGGGCAAGGACGAGGTGAGCGAGGCCGCACTGTTGGGGTGCCCGAGGATACCCACAGTCATGCTGCGCGTCTCGGACAAGCAGGGCTGTTCCTTGCAGCAACTTGGCGTGCGAGGGAGCTCTCATCGCCTCCTCGACGAGGACGGAGGGCTCGAGCCCGCCGACACTCGAGTACCGCAGCCCGCTGCACCCAGAGAGGCCGCGAGAAGAGAGAAAAGATGGGGCAGCTCACCGACGACGATCACATTGAACTGTGTGCGGTGCAGGCGAGGGGAGGGAGGGGCGAACGGCTCGTCAGCTCGTAGTCGGCAACGACGACGAGGCGACGGAGGGACGCACCTGGAAGCCGCGCTTGAGCAACTTGTGCTCGATCTGCTGTGTGATCGAGTCGAAGCCCACGCTGCGAGCGAGGCGAGCCTGTGAGCCTCGTGCGGGTTGCGGATGCGGGGGGTCGAGGAGACGCGAGGCTCGTAGGAGCAGAGAGAGGGAGCTCACTAGCTGTTGAGCCTCGTCGTAGACTCGCTCGGCGGCTGCTGCACTTCAGTCATGGTCGCGGCGGTGCGAGGTGAAGACAAACCGAGACGAGGAGCGCGACGGACCAGGTCGACCGCGGTGGCTCTCGTCAAGCTCTCTCAGGCTCCCGTGCTTCCGTGGACAGTCACTCACACGTGCATGGCCGGCGAGGGAGACATAGTTACAGATGCGAGGAGAGCAAAGGGGGAGCGCACGTCTACACAGCCACAGCAATCTGGCGAGGCTCACTCGCGCACGACGTCCTCGCGCTTGAGCTTCTTCTCGACCTTTTCCTCGTCCTTCTTGACCTCGCCGTCCGACTTGGCGCCCTGCGCAGTGGCGGACGACGACGACGACGGCGGCGGCGGCGACGACACGTCGGCCCGGATCGCCTGCGCGTCCTCCTTGAGCGCGACGGCGGCGTCCTCGATGAGGATGCCGAGGCCCTCGCCCTCGGCGAGCTGGAGGATGTCGTCGAGCGGGATGAAGCCGTCGCCGTCCGGGTCGAGCTTGGTGAGGAGGACCTTGATCTCGTCCTCGGACGGGCGGTGGTTGATGACCTCGAGCGCGCTCCGAAGGTCCTTGGCCGCGATCATGCCCTCCGAGTTGGCCGAGAACATGTTGAGGCGCGAGCCGACGCTCGCGTCGTACTCCTCGAGCTGCTTGTCGATCTTGGTCAGGATCGACTTGAGGCGCTTGTTCAACGGGTTGGGCTTGCCGCCCTCCTCGTGCTCGGCCTTGTCGTTCTCGGCGATGAGGCGACGCAGCTCGGTGCGCTCCTTGACGACAGCCGACTTGGCCGACAGGATCTCGAGCGCAGAGCCGAGCTCCTGGACCTGCTCGGACGTCATGCGGACGTCCTCGGGCGCCGGCGCGGCGGGCTCGGCAGGCTGCTCCTTGGTCGCCTCCTTGACCTGCACGGTACCGCATGAGCGAGTCAGTGACTTGCGCCCGAGGGGAGGGGGCACAGAGAGGCGAGAGGAGGAAGAGGGGACGCACCTCGCTCTCGGGGAGCATCTCCTGGACCTGGTCGGCCTCCTTGGCCGCCTTCTCCTGCTCCTCGGCCTCGCGCTTCTTCTCGGCCTCCTCGCGCTTGGCCTCCTCCTCGGCCTCCTTCTTGACGCGACGCGCCTCGGCCTCCTTGGCCTCCTGCTCCTCCTCGTCCTCGATGAGCTCCTCCTGCTGCTGGAGCACCTCGAGGCGCTGCTTGTACGACGCCGAGTCAGACGACACCTCGAGCTCGGCCTCGTTGACGAGGTTGTCCGGGAGCGACGCGAGCGTGTCCTTGAGGCTCTTGAGGACCTCGTCGCCGCCGGCCTCGCCCTCGGGCGTGACGCCGTACGCACGGTTGAACGCGAACGCCTTGCTCAGGATGAGGAGCGTGCCCGACAGGCCGTAGTGGAGGTGCAGGTCGAGCCACTGCTGGAGCTCGGAGCGCAGGTGCTCGTCGCTGACCTTGAGCGTGCGGATGCCGCGCGACTGGCACGCCGCCTGGAGCTCGGCCGTGCTGAGCGCGTCGAGGCCCTCGGACGCGATGACCTTGTCGTCGTCCTTGAGCTTCTGCATGCGGTTGCGGATCGTGAAGCGCAGGAAGATGTCGGTGCCGAAAGCGTTGATGTTCATGTACCTGCGACGAGGGTACGTTCGGGTCAGTCGCCTTGCCGCCGTCGCCCGTACCACCCTCTGAGCGGCGAGAGAGAGGACGCACCGGCACATCGAGACGAGTTGAGGGCGCGACAGGTTCTCAAGGGTCAAGTCGTCCTCGAACAGGCGAGCGACGCGGACGACCTCCTCGGTCGACGGGTTCTCGCCAGTAGAGCGGACCTGCAGGACGAAGGAGAAACTCGTGGTCAGGATCGTGGACGGTACAAGGAGAGGAGGAGCGGCGGGACGCACCTTGCGGAAGAACTCCTTGAACTCCTCGGACTGCTTGATCTTGTCGCGGTTGTTGAGCCCGCCCTCGCGGATCGTCTCCTGGAGGAACTTGGCCATCTCGAGGCGGACCTTGAGCAGCTTGCGCTTCTTCTCCTCCTGCGGCGGGGCAGACGGACACGAGGACCGGGTCAGTGCAGGGTCCTCGAGGGCCGGCGGGCAAGACGCGAGAGAGGCGGACGCACCTCCTTGAACTTGTCGGCGAAGGTGGACGGGAGCATGTTGGGGAAGAGCTTGAGCGCGACAGGAAGGAGGAGCTCCATGAACGGGATGATGACGAAGACGGAGAACGGGATGAGGCGAAGGAGGTCCTGGGTCGTGCGCTTGAGCTGTTGCGCGACGGCAAGTCGATGGAGGAAGAGTCAGGTCATGCACTCGACGCAGTGAGAGAAGGGCGAGGTCCAAGAGGAGGAAGTGAAAGAGACTGAGGGGGGACGGACCTGGCGGTGCTCGCGGCGGGTGAGCTTCTTGCCGGCGACGAGGCGACTCAAGAGGCGGGCCGAGATGCGGACCTCCTTGCCCAGCAGCTTGGTGCCGTGCCAGTAGTGGAGCGCCTCCTTCTTGATGACGGCCCACACGCGCTGCATGCGGGTGCCCTTGTCCTTGGACGACTCCTTCTTGGCGACGGCCGCCTTCTTGTCGTCCTGGACGGCGACCTCCTTGGACGCATCGGCGACGGCCTTCTCGGCGGCGGCCGAGGGCGGCGGGGTCGAGGGTTGCGCGGCGAGGAAGGGGCGCGAGGTGGTGAGGAGGCGGAGCTGGGCGTGGTGGTACGCGACGAGGGCGGGACCGCGCGCAAGGGCGTCGGTGCGGATGCTCGGAGCGAAGCGCGCGTGCACGAACGGCGACAGGCGCGTCGCTCGCGCTGCGAACGAGGCGGTTGCCCCAGTCGGCCGGCTGAGCATCGTGGCGAGGGGGGACGGCCCGGTGGACGGCGTGGGTGCGTGGCGGGGACGCGAGAGTGCAAGGCTGCGCTCTGGTCTCGTGCTGGCCTGGCTCCTGGGTGCGAGGTGGTGGTTGACGAGGGGAGCTGGCGTGTCGCCTCCTCGAACCGATGCCGAGGGCGACGCGGCTCTCTCGGCGGCTTGCGCTGGCTCGTTCGCTCGCACAGCAGCTCGACGACGCTTCTGCACTCGCATCCGCACGCGCGCGTCCCACCAGAAGCTGCAGCTTGCGTCTCGCTCCTCCCTTCGCTCCCAACCTGGCTCCGAAGCTTCGCCGCGCAAGCGCCTCGGCTTGCGCGCTGCAGCAGACTGCTCTGCAGGCTCCGGTCTTCTCCTCTGCTCGCCCTTGTGCTCGAGCTCGAACGTCCCGAGTCCGAGGTCGTCTGCTACGACGCTCGGACGCCGACGCCGCTCTCCTCGCTCTCGAACGACACGTGCATTGCGCGGACTCAGTACTTTGCCCACAGCTCTCTCCGCCCCATGACACGCGCCGGCAGCAACGCGAGCGCGCCGCCGAGCATCATGCTCCCTGAATCTGCGGCAGGAGGAGGGCGGTCAGCGGCGACCGAGGAGAGGGCGAGGAGGACGGAGCGACGCACAGTAGCCGACGGTCCCGTAGTTGCCCCCAGCAGCGTTCAGAGTCCAACCGGCGACGCTCCCACCCATGAACACGCCCGGCGAGTTGCAGAGAATGCCAAAGCCGACGACTGCGCGAGCGAGAAGGTCAGTTCGCCGTCGACCCTGCGTGCGGAACGAGCGCGACGAAGGCGGTCGACTCACTTGTCGCGAGACCTTTGGTGCCGAACAGTTGAGCGCAGGACGGTGCGAGAAGCGAGACGAACCCTGCGCGCGCGCGAGAAGGACGAGGTCAGTGGGCGGTCCTTGCGAGGATTCGGCGCGTCGCTCAGGCGGGACTCACAGCTGCCGAACCAGCCGTACAGACAGGCGAACGCCATGATGGCGCCGAACGAGTGCATGCGCGGCCACAGTAAGAGCTGCGTCATGGCCTGTTGGTCGCAAAGTCCGGCTCGAGTCGGTGCAGGCCGGCGAGAAGAGGAGGAACGAGAGGACGTACACCGATGAAGAAAGAGAGGAAGAGCGTATTGATCGGCCCGATGCGGTCGGCGACATAGCCGCCAAAGACCTGCGACCGCGAGAGGAAGAGAGTCAGGCCGGGAGGGGGAGAAGGCGACGAGAGGGAGGAGGACGCACTCGTCCGACGCCGCTGACTGCCGTCCCGACGATGAGGGGCACGGCGACGATGAGACTGGTCGGCGCGTACTCGGGGCACTGCTGCTTGGTGAGAGCGGTGATGAAGTAGAAGGGGGTCTGTGCGCAACTTGAGAAGGTCAATCTCGTCGTCTTGACGATCCACAGGAAAGGGCCCGCAGCTCACCAAGTAGCCCCAGACGCCGACGAAGACACTGCCCATGAGCGAGTAGAAGCGCACGTCTCGCCACACGCCCTTGGGCAACCAGTTCTTGGGCACTCGACGCTCGCCGTCCTTCAGGGGCGGGTTCCGCTCCTGGATGAGCGTGAAGCCGACGACGTACGCCACGACGTTGCAGGCTGTATAGATCTGCTCGAGAGGGATTGGGAGAGACAACGTCAGTCGGTTGCGCTACGAAAATGGGTCCGAGAGGGAGGGGGCGCACGAGGAGGGCGTTGCGGTACCCGAGCTTGATCGTGCTGCGCAGAATGAGCGCAGCGATGCCTGCGACACGGGAAAGAGTCAGTCAGGGGCGAGAGTACGGGGTGGGACCGAGCACGCGTGCGAGAGGAGGACGCACTGCCGCCGATTCCCGATCCCGACATGGCGATGCCGGTCGCGAGCCCTCGCCGCTTGAGGAACCACTGGCTCGGGACGGCCATGAAGAGCGACATGCCGAGACCTTGCGAGATGCCGAGGAGGACGCCCTGGGTGACAAAGAGGGCCGGGAGCGACTTGTACGACAGGGCGGCGCCGACGAGGCTCACGACGCTCAGGCAGCAGCCGGCGCCGATGCACGGCTTGAAACCCCAGCGATCTCCGAGTCGGCCTGCGACGAAGCTGAACGCGTTGGCGCCGAGGTTGGCGAGGCCCTGGATGAAGTTGAGCGTCGCCGGCGTCTGGTGGAGACGGGCCTCGAGATTTTCCATAAATATGCCGAACAGGAGGCCATAGCCGAGCCTGCAGTAGAGCGAGATGAGGGTGCAGGTGCGTAGGAAGGAGTAGGGAGGGAGGAGGGACGAAAGAGGAGAAAGAGACGTGAGTCGAGGAGAGGGCGGCACCGGGCGCCGACCACGACGCTCTCGTGCGGACCGATCGACTCACTGGGATGCTGCGAGACACCAGACACCCTGTTGGCGTCGAGGAAGAAGAGTCAGCCACATGCGCGCCGTGCGCGAGCGAGTCGAGGGAGGAGTGAGGAGGAGGAGGGACGCACAAAGACGACGCCCCACGCCCTCCAGCCACCGTCCGGGTACGTCCACTCGTCTCCTGCGCCTGCACCGTCTCCCTCGAGCCCCTCCTTGTCGCAGAGCGAGCCCTTCTCGACCTCGTCCCCGCTCCTCACCCGGTCGACCGGGCCCTCGCCGCCTTCGACCCTCGAGCGCGCGCTCCTCAGTCGTCCGAGCGCGACGTACGCCTCGACGTCGGCTTCTCGTGCGGCGAGGACGCCCTCGGTCGTGCTCAGGCCGACGCAGTGCTCGATAGCGAGAGCTGGCGGCGCGGAAGTTGGGCCGGACGCGTGCGGGGCAGGGTCGCGAGGCGGTCCGGGAGCGAGTGGTCGCTCGTTGTGCAGCGTGTCGCTCGAGGTGCTGTGTCGAGGGTGCGGCATCGTCGCAGCGCAGCGCGTCGAGGAGGAGCTGCACAGAGCGTAGACCGCGTGCTCGAGCGACCCCTGAGAGCTCGAGTCGGCCGGGACGCGAGCCGGTCCGTCGGGCGTGCCGAGAAATCAAGCGCGCTGCCGAGCGAAGAAGTCAAAACGCGCGAGCTGGGAACCGCTCTCTCGAGCACGGCGAGGGATGGGCACTGATTGGTCGTCAAGCGGCGAGGGAAAAGCAGAGGGGACTAGACGAGGTACAAAGGTCAAGCGAGGAGAGAGGAAGAGGAGGGAGGGGAAGAGGGGGGTCTCACGCAACGGCCTCCTTGTCCCTCTTCCACTCGACGAACGCGTCAATCGCCGACGGCCCTGCACAACGCCGAGACGAGGACGTCAGTCTACGAGTCGAGAGAGGAAGGGGGAAAGGGCAGGGACGCACAGGCGTCGTCCTCGCTCCACCCCGTCAGGTCGGGCTCGACCGTCTCGCAAAAGTCGAGCAGCTGCGTCCACAGGTCGGTCGACACGGCCTTGAACTTGTCGCCCCGGTGCTGCGCACACGCACGAGAGGGTGAGACGCCGCACTCGTCGAGAGAGAGAGAGAGAAAGGGAAAGGCGGGGCGACGCACCTCGGCAAAGTCGACGAAACCCTGCGCGAGTGCGTACTTGGGCGCGAGGACGACGGACCACATGGCCTTGGCCGCCTCGGCGGGCAGCGTCTTGGAGCCCTCGGCGCGGAAGAAGGGGAGGAGGAACGTGTAGAACTGCTGGAACGACTGGTTGGCGATCATGTCGGCGTCGGGCCCGCGGTACAGGTCCTCCGAGTCGCTGCTCCCGCCCGGCGCGGCGACTGCCTTGCCCTTGCCGCCGGCACGAGGCTTGAACAGCTCCTGCTCCTGCTTTTCGAGGAACGCCTTGAGCTTGACGGACGAGGCGATCCTGTCAAGGCGAGCCAGGTCAGGAACGGCTCGGCGGACGACGACAAAGAGAGAGACGAGGACGCACTTGTCGTCGCGGAAAGCGCGCTCAAAGTCGCTCAGGTAGAACGCGCCGAACGTGCCCGGCTTGGCGCCGACCTTCCACGCGAGGATGAGCGGGTACGCCTGCGAGTTCGGGTCGAGGGTCAGCTTGGGCAACGAGGAAAGAGGAGGGGAGGGATGCGGACGCACGCCGTCCATCGACAGGCCCATGTCGCGGAAGAGCTTCTCGATGCCGTTGCCGTCCATCTTGGTCTTGTCGCCCTTGTCGGCGAACTGGGCGAACCAGACCGGGAGCGCCTCGTCGAACGGGAACTCCTTGGGCGCCTTCTTGTCCTTCTTCTTCTTGGGCGCCTCGGCGAGCGACTCGGCGGGCGTCGAGGTCGACGCCTCGAACGGGGTGCGCGAGGCGAGGGCGGCCTTGGACTTGGGCTTGCTCGAGGTGGCTTCGGGACGCAAGTGGGGGAGGAAGGAGGGTCAGCTCGGGGGACGGTGGAGGGGCAGGACTTGAGAGGAAGTGCGGGGCGCACCTTTGGCCTTAAACGACGAGGCCGGAGCGGCGGCCCTCTTCTTCTTGGGCTGCTCGACGACGACGTCCGAGTCGGACGAGTGGTCGCTGTCGCTCGAGAGGACCATCTCCTCGGTCTTTTTCTTGAGCTTCTTGGGCTTGGACGCGGGCTTGGCGGAGCTCTTGGACGACGACGAAGCTTTGGCGGCCTTGACCTTGGGCTTTTTGGCGGGCGGGGGCGACGAGTCGTCGTCGGACGAGGTGTCGGCGCGGGTCGTGCGCTTCTTCGAGGCGGGCTTGGGCTTGGACGAGGTGGCGGCCTTGGCCTTGGGAGCCTGTGGAGAGGACGCGAGTCAGCTCGAGGCGTACAGGGTGTCGAGCGAGAGGTGCGGGTGACTGGGAGATGATGAGGCGGAGGGGATGAGGGACGGGGACGCACCATGCTGGAACGGGTGCGGCTGTGGCGGGCGGGTCAGGTACTACTCGTGGTGGCAGCAGTGCTCTCAGTCGCAGTCGAGTGCAGCTGAGTGAAGAGCAGGAGCGAGAGGGACGGCCACGATGTCAACCGAGGGGAGCGGGCTCGTCTCCCTCTCTGTCCCGACCCTCTGCTGCTCAGGCGACCTGCACATCGTTCTATACGCACTGCTGCGACCCGCCACAGCCACTCTCCGCACCGCCCCCTCCTCTCGACACTTGCCCTCTCCCCGCCCTCCTCCTGCGCACCGCGACGCGCCCGCACCCTCGCAACACCTCGCCCATGGCTCCTGGGCGAGCGCGCAAGCGGGCGAAGGGCACCACCACCACCGACACCGAGCTGTCGGCCGCCGCCCACCTCGACTCGGCGTCCGACTACTCGCAGCCGTCCCTCGCCTCGGTCGACTCGACCCTGCGCTGCCCAATCTGCACAGAGCTCTTCGCCGCGCCCGTCATCCTCACGACGTGCTCGCACTCGTTCGACTCGCGGTGCCTGCGCGAGTACCTCGTCGGCCACAAGCGGTGCCCGTCGTGCCTCCGCGAGTGCAGCGAGGACAACATCCGCCTCAACCTCGCGCTCCAAGCCACCGTCGCCGCGTGGAAGGACGCTCGGCGAGTCCCCGATTTCGCAGAGCCTCGAGCCGAAGCCCCTTCTGACGCCAATACCAAACTTGCAGGGCTGCCCTCCTCCACCTCCAGTCGCTCGCCGCGCCTTCCTCCCCTTCTCCTGCCGCCCGTCCTTCTCCGCCGTCAGCAGCTCGCACACCCGGCAGCTTCGTCTCGGGCAAGCGCAAAGCTTCGGCCCTCACCTCCTCGTCGTCGTCGCCCGCCGTCAAGAGCGAGCCGCACGAACCCGCCGCGCTTGTCCTCGTCGACGACGGCAGCTCGGACGTCGAGATCATCGACGAGGGCACGGTGCCCTCGTCGACGGCGCGCAGGGCGCCGTCGAGGAAGAAGGCGAGGGGAGCGGGCGGGCGCGAGGCGAGAGGAGCGAGAGGAGGAGGACCGGGCAAGGGCAAAGGGCGGGCAAAGCTCGAGGAGGCGGACCCGACAGACCGTGCGTCCCCGACCTTTCACCTATCTTGTCCTCCCTCGCGTGAGCTCACCCTCCCCCATCGTGCGCAGCGTCGCTCATCCTCGAGTGCCCTCTCTGCGGCGGGTCGATCAAGAACGCCCTCATGGCCCTGCACGTCGAGCGCTGCAACGGCGTGCCGCCGCCGGCGACTGCGACGACGAGTGCCGCCTGGGGCAAGCTGCTCGGCGCAACTGGACGCAGCACCGGGGCGAGAGACGGCGACAGCGAGTAAGTGCTTCTCCGTCACGACGAGGGTCTCCTGTGTCCGCCGCAGCTCGAGTCCCTTCGACTGACAGTTCCCTCCCGTCACAGCTCGTCGACCTCGAACGTGCGCGAGGGCAGCAAGCTCGACACGACGCGGCCCTTGCCGCTCGCGAGCTACGCCCGCAAGTCGGTCCAGGAGCTCAACGACATGCTCAAGGTGCGCCCTCTTCCCCTCTCGACTCTCTCTCTCCCATCGATGTCAACAGTCACTGACCCGCATATGCTCGTCTCGCAGGCCTACGACCTCCCGACGGCCTTGCCCTCTTCCTCGTCCTCGCGCGACACGTCCACCCTCTCGACCGACGCCAAGCTCGCCCTCCTCGTCCGCCGTCACCGCCACTTCCTCGTCCTGTGGAACGCCAACGCCGACCTCGCCCCCGAGGACCCGGCGCACAAGAGCGCGCAGGGCGTGCGCGACGAGCTGCGCAGGTGGGAGAGGACGCAGGGGGCGGCGACGAGTGGAGCCGGGGCGGGTGGCGGCGGGAGCGCGCAGGGAGGGATGGGCGAGTGGAGCGCCAAGGCTCACCTGGTGCGCCCTGCGCTCTAGCCCTCTCGAAGCGGGCGGGCTCTTGTCCCACGCGCACTGACTCTTTTCCTCCATTGGCCTTGCCTCGCGCAGAAGCAGTACGCCGACGACTTTCGCGAGCTCGTTTCGCAGGCGAGGGCATCGGCGCTTGCGGCACGCCAACCTCGGCAGGAGGACGAGTCGGCACAGGAGCAAGGCGACAAGATGCAGGTGGACGAGGACGAGGGGGCGCGAGCGCAGGCGGCGGCCGAGCCCGCCGCGGCCTCGATCACGACCGGCGCGAGTACGGCGCCAGGAGCTGGCGGCGCAGGAGCGGCTGCACCCCGTCGCACCGTCCGCATCCTCTCTCCTCCACCGCGCTCGTCCCCCTCGCCAGCCGCCTCCCCTTCTCCCCGCCCGCGCACCTCGTCTTCCTCCTCGCCCCCACCGCCCATTCCGCTCTCTCACGACTTTGACTCGCCGACCGCACGACCGTCGACGGCACGCCTGAGCAGGACGGCGTCGCGCTCGCCGTCGCGGTCGTCGTCGCCGTTCGACGCCGAGCGCCCGCCTCGGGCGAGCCAGCGCAACCGCGAGGAGGAGCGCATGTTTGCCGAGATGGATGCGGCGAGGGAGGAGGCCGAGGCGAGGGCTGCGGCGGCGGGAGGAGAGCTCGAAGGAGGGCCCAAGAACGAGGACGAGGGAGAGGGGGCGAGGTCGATGGCCTGAGCGGGAGGAGGCCGAGCTTTTGCGAGCGTGTGCCATGCGATACGGATGCTTATTGTGCACTCTGCTTTGCCGCGAGAGACGAGCTTGCTGAGCCGGGCGGTCGGGTCGAGGCGGGCGGCCGCGGACGAGCGAGAGGAGGCCTCGCTGTTCTCTCCCACCCCCGCCCTCGCACCCACAGTGAGTCCAGCACACTCTCAGGCCACAGTCGAGCTCCTTCAGCCTGCTCACTCGGCCTCGGGCTCGCAGAAATGGCCGACTCGCAGACCAACGTCGACCAGCTCAAGCAGCTCATCTCGCAGCTCCAGGCAAAGGTCGAGCGCCTTGAGCAGCAGGCCCAGTCGTCTGCCACCGACGCCAAGAACAAGGTCGCCGACTCGCTCACCTCGGCAAAGGACGCCGTCAAGGACACGCTCGCCGGCACCACCGCCCAGGCCAAGGACGCCCTCACCCCGGCTCAGCACCTCCGCCTTGTCCTCATGGGCCCGCCCGGTGCCGGTGAGCCCCCTTTACTTGCCTATGCGCGCGCCAGATCCGTCATCGCCTGGCCGCGAGGGATTGCCCGAGGGGAGATGGAAACCGGGGGCGGGGGCGAGCTGTTCACCTTGGCGGGCGGCTTCCGAGGGCGTGCACGGTCGACTGTTGCATCCTTCGACACCTCGAAGAGCGCACGCGGCGGAACCAGCTCTCGCTCGGCCGTGCCGTCGCCGCCACAGCATCCCCCCCTCGTCGAACGGCACTGACCCTTTCCCCCTCTCGCGTCTCGCAGGCAAGGGCACCCAGGCGCCCAAGATCAAGGAGGCGTACAACGTGTGCCACCTCGCGACCGGCGACATGCTGCGCGACGAGGTCAAGCGCGGCACCGACCTCGGCAAGGAGGCCAAGAAGATCATGGACCAGGGCGGCCTCGTGTCGGACGAGATTGTTATTGGCATGATCAAGTCGCAGCTCGAGACCAACCCGGAGTGCTCGCTCGGGTGCGTCGAGCTCTCTCTGCCCCCCTCTCGTGTCCCTCGATGTCGAGCCAGTCGACCTGACCCTGCCCTCTCCTCTCCTCGAACAGCTTCATCCTCGACGGTTTCCCTCGCAACGTCTCGCAGGCCGAGAAGCTCGACGGCATGCTCACCGAGCGCAAGCAGCCCGTCGAGCACGCCGTGCAGCTCCTCGTCGACGACAACCTCCTCGTGTCGCGCATCACGGGCCGCCTCATCCACCCGGCGTCGGGCCGCTCGTACCACAAGGAGTTTGCGCCGCCCAAGAAAGCCATGACCGACGACGTCACGGGCGAGCCCCTCATCCAGCGCTCGGACGACACGGCAGAGACGCTCCACAAGCGCCTCCACACGTACCACGAGCAGACGGGCCCGGTCGCCGAGTACTACAAGAAGAAGGGCGTGCGTCCTCGCTCTCTCTTTCTCTTCTGCCTGCGTGGTCGAGCCTGACCCGTCGAGGTGCCGCACGCAGATCTGGACCGGCGTCGACGCCGCTCAGGCCCCCAAGACCGTCTGGGCCAGCTTGTCCAAGATCTTTGCCGAGCACGGCAAGCAGCAGTAGAGCGCACTCTCTCTCTCTCGCCCCACTCGCAGTGTCGTATTACATGCATCGTCGGGCAAGTGTGCAGTGCAAAGAAAAAAGGTTACATAGCGCTGCTCTCAAAGGCGACGAGGCGAGAGAGCTCCGTCTGAAGGCACGAGAGACGAACGATATTTACAGATCGAGAGACGACAACAAAGAGAAAAACAAGGAGTGCTACAGGAGGGGAACTATGACCGGCGACTCATGCTGCGCCGAGAGAAAGAGAGAGGGCGAGTGAGTAAGTGACCACGACGGCGGACGATGAAGGAGGAACGCGACGCACATCCAGGTGCCCTCGTACCCGCTCAGGTCAACAGGCCTGCGAACAAGACGAGACGAGGTCAGTGAGTGAGTACGGCGAAGAGAGAGAGGGAAAGAGAGAGAGAGAGCTGGACGGACGTGTGCGTGTCCCTCCACCGCCCGACGAGGTTGCCGCCGACGAGCACGCCGCGATAGATCCACCGCCCTCGGCTGTCGGGCGTGTACTCCTTGACGATGCTGAACATGCCGTCCCACGCGCGGACCCGGCCCTTGAGGACAAACTGGCCCCACGCCGAGTGGCCCGTGCCCGTGAGGAGGATCTCGTACTCGCCGTCCGGGTCGCAGTGCGTCCACTCGTCGTCGTCGCCGCCGTCGCCAAAAGGCGCGTACGCGTCGCCCGAGGCGGTCGTCGAGGTCCAGCTACGCGCGCGCTTCGACGCTCGGTCCTCGGACGACGAGCGGTCGAGGTCGACCGAGGTGCGCCGCCGGCCGTGGCCTCCCGCCGCCGCCGACGAGGTCGTTGCGCCGCCCGAGTACGAGGCCGAGCCCGCCGCCGTGCCCGGTGCCGGCCGCGGGAGGACCGGCTGGCCGACCTCGAACCCGGCGTTCAGGGCCGGCCCTCTCCCGCCCGGCTGTTGCCCGCGCTCGAGGCGGACGATGCGCTCCTCGAGCTTCCACACTTGGGGCTGGTCGCCGAACGGGCCCTCGTACAGGCTCCTCATGCGGCCACCGAGCATGTCGCGGTAGCTGTCGAAGTCGAAGAACGAGAACCGGCCCTCCCAGCTCCCCGTCAGGTCGCCGCGCGTGTACAGCTTGGGCATGCCGAGCGACGAGTAGGGGTCGATGCACGACGCGAGCCGGATAAAGTCGCGGTCGTGCAGGCGCGACGAGAGGACCGGGAGCGACGTCTTGGTCGGCCGGCTCGACGCCGTGAGCGACCCTGCGGCCGGCGCCGCCGGGTTGCCGAGCATGTGCTGCGCGGGCGTGCCCTGCCCCTGGAGGAGGAGGTCGCTCTGGACCGCCGGGTCCTGCTCGACGCGGAAGAAGAAGGAGAAGATGGCGGCGTGGGCGAGGTTGGGGGGCGTCATCTCGATGCGGCGGCCCATGTGAAGGATCGACTGGGCCTGGGTGCGAGGGCGCAGGTCGGCGAGGAACGGGCCCTCGGGCGGCGGGCGGACAGGGTACTCGTCGCGCGTGACGGGGAGCGACGGGATGGTCCACGGGGCGAAGAAGGCGTCGAACTGGTGGACGGCGAGGGTCAGGACCACGGACAGGACTAGTGGAGGAGAAGGACCATGCGCGACGGACCTTGTGAGCGGCAAAAACGTAGGGCTTGAGGACGAAGAAGCGCTGCTCAGACTCTTGCGGCGTCTCGAGCGACAGGTCGTCTGTTTCGGAGGTTGCAGTCCGTCAGGTCCTGTCGACGGGGGCGAGGAGAGGAGAGAGGAGAGACGCACCTCCTGCGAGCCACCCGATCCAGAGACCGAGTGCCCTGCCGGCCGTCTGCCTCGGCCAGCCGGGCTTGAGCGCCTCGTTGAGGAGCGAGTGGTCGTAGAAGAGGCGCATGTACTGGCGCAGGTCGGCGTACTCGAGCAGGTGCGGAAGGTTCTTGCCGTCTGTGGGTGCAGCTCAGGGTCAGAGCGAGCCCGGGAGAGGCGAGACGAGGAGGCGAACGAGACGAGGGACGCACCGTTCTCGAGCAACATGAGGTAACAGGTCCACAGGTTCTGCGTGAGCTCGTCCGGCTCGGGCAGGCGCGTCCTACTGCTCTTGGGCGTCAAGGCCTGCAGCCTCGGGCTGCTCGGGCGCGAGCTGCTCGGCGGGATGGCGCGGTTGCGCACGGCGGCGCGCATCTTGGCGAGGACGGCGCACCGGCTCTTGAACTCGCTCGCGTAGTCGCGGTTCGTGAGCGGGCGCCACGGCGACTTGTTGTCCGGGACGAGGTCGGGACTCGACGGGCGCGTGAAGCTCATGCCGGCGTCGAGCTGCAGGTCGGCGTCGGGCTTGACCTCGGGGAGCGTCTCGAGGAGGGCGCGCTTCTCTCGGCGCTCCTCGATGCGCCGCATCTGTGCGTCGGCAGTGGAGTGTGTCAGTTCTCGAATCCAGACGTCCGCCGGCTCATCGCACTTGGGCAACAGAGGAGGAGCTGGAGCGCACCTGGGCCCACCGCCGCTCGAGCGGACCGGCATCGAAGCGCTCCTTGAACAAGTCGGCGTAGAAGCCGGCGTTCCTCGCGCCGAGGACGTCGTGGAACCGGCGGCTGAGGAGGATGAGGGTGCCGAGTTGGGCCGGTGGGCCGACCGGGTCGAGGCGGGCGACGGCCTTGGCGACGGCCTCGATGAGCTCTGACGGGAGGCTCTCGAACGTGGACGGCGAGTGGTGCTCGAGCTCTGGCGCGGGCGACGGGGTGCCAGCGAGCGAGATGCCGCCGAGTTGCGAGACGAGCGGGAGCGAGGGCGAGGTGAGGGGGATGAGCGACGGCGGGCTGTCGGTAGCCATGGGCGGTGCGCTGTGCTGTGCAGGACTGGCACACGTCGTCCTTGCGGCCGTGAGCAGGGTGGAGCAGGCAGGAGACGAGGGAGCGCGACCCTCCCCCACCTCTCAATCCTCCTTGGAATCCTCGTCGACGTCCCTTGGCGCCACCATTGACCGAGCCCAGCTCTGTGTCTCTTGCTTTCTGCTCGACCGGCACAGCCTCGATGCAGTGCAAGTCATGCTAGAGATGCTCTACCCTATGGACCTCGCCAGAACCTGTCTCGCCAACTCTGCCGCGCCCTCGTCGACCGCTCCTTCGAGCCCTGCTGCGGCCGCCTGTGTCTTGAGGCCCGCAACGGAGTACGCGCCGACGAGGAGGAGCTGCCCCGTGACGTCGAGGAGCGAGGTGAGGAGCGGGAGCGCGTACACTGTTGGCGAGCGAGGAACGAGGAGGGTCAGGAACGGGTACAAGCGCCGAGAGGACCAGGCGAAAGGCGACGACGCACCGTCCGGGTCGTAGTCGAGCTTCCACAGCAATAGTGCGCCTTGCTGGGCGAGCAAAAGTGCGAGCGCGACCTGTATCGAGAGAGAGAGAGAGAGAGAGAGAGAGAGAGAGAGAGAGAGAGAGAGAGAGAGAGAGAGAGAGAGAGAGAGAGAGAGAGAGGACCCGCTCGAGCGCGAGTCAGTTCTGTACGGCCTCGGCAAAAGAGGACCGTCACGGGCGCACCTGGATCGCGACGACGACCATAAACCCTCCCGCAAAGAGCGTCGTCACCTCGGCCTGGCCCGTCAACCACAGGAAGACGAGGAAGAGGCCGAGGATCGGGCACGCGAGCGCAAACAGGGTCGCGGCGACGACGAGGTACGGCTCCTTGCGGCCCGAGTGCAGAGCGGTCGAGATGCGCGACACCGAGATGGACCCGGCTGCGCCCGACAGGGCCGTCACGACGGGCGACACGAGGGCGAAGGCGGGGAGCTGGTTGACGTACGTCTCGAGGACGACGCCAGAGCCACTGTGCGGCAGGACGTCAGGATGAGGCCACACGGGCAGGGCAGAGGAAACGCGAGAGGCAGGGGACGCACCTCGAGATGGCCATGGCCGCAAAGAGTGGTCCCCACCCGATCGTGAGCAGCTCGTGGACGTAGGCGTTGCGGAACGTGAGGACGACGTTGACGGCGATGACGCCGAGAAGGACGATGAAGACGAGCGTCGAGACGATTGTGCCTGTAGGGGGAGAGTCGTCGAGGTCAGATACCTAGCTCTGCCGCGACGAGGGAGGAGGCGAGGACGGACCCATGAAGAGGATGAAGAGGCTCGAGAGCCCGCCGAGGATGACGAGCGTCACCATGTCGCCGAGAGCAGACGCGACCGGCGTCGCGATGTTGTCTGCGTGGTGGGGCCAAGCTCGTCAGTACAAGTCGACGAGGAGAGGGTCGGTGCGGGAACGAGGTGAGGGCGCACCTGGGTTGACGTGGATCCGCCGGCAGAGGACGACGAGCGAGCACATGAAGCTGCCGAGGACGCCGCTGCTGATGCCCGCCGCGAGCATGCTGACGCACAGGACGAGGAGCGCCTCGAAGTAGCCGCCCCGGAGCGCGGCCGTCGCGTCGAGCCCGCCCGCCGCCGCGTTGACGGCCGACGCCGGGTCGTGGATCGGGTTCTGGAGCGCGTGGTGTACGCCCTTGCGCGAGGCGAGGCCGAGGACGAAGGCTAGGAGGCCCGACAGGAGCGAGACGATGAGGGCCTGCACTTGAAGGAGCGCGAGGTTGCCCAGGATGAGGGACCGCCGCGTGAGGCGCAGGTCGAGCTCGCCAATGTTGGCCGAGGTCGAGAAGCGCGCGGCGAGGTTCATCTCGAGGTTGCCCTTGAGGTTGAGGAGGATCGGGACGAGGATGAAGAGCTCCTCGATGCGGATGAAGACGCGCCACGTCTGCGGCGAGGGTTCCAAGTCAGTGCCGGCGCGCGAGACGGGTCGAGGCAATGCGAGACGACGCACTTGTAGTTTCTGGAGCAGCTCGCCAGTCAAGACGGCGCCGACGAGCGACAGGAGCAGGACGGGCAGGGTCTGCGCCAGGGCGAGGAGGGGTCAGTGCGCGCTTGGGGCAGGTCCGTGGAGGGAGGATGGGGCGCACCTCTCGCAGCATTTCGCGCCTGAAGACCTTGCGCTGCTGCGCCGTCATGCCGCCAAAGATGCGCGTGCGCCAGTCGGCGACTCGATGCGGTGGTGGATTGTCGGCGGCGGCACTCGACCTCCTCGACGACGGTCGGGGCTGGGCTGCCGAGTCGTCGGTCGTGTGGTCGTGGCGGTTGTCGTCGCTGGACGCGAGCGCGTCCGGGTGGGCTGCGAGGAGGGCATCGACCTCGTCGTCGCTGTCGAGCGGGTCGTCGCTCGAGTCGAGGGCGCGGCCTTTGCCCTTGTCGCGTGTCGAGCGGTCGGGCGAGGCGTGTGCGAGCTCGTAGCCGCTGGCGAGCCCGGCCAAGGACGGACCGGCGGGAGCCATGAGCTGGACGAAGGTTGAACGGGAGGTGGACTGGAGGACGGCTCGTTGTCGTGGCTTGCGACTAGTGGACGAGCGCGGGTTCGGCTGCGAGTTGAGGTGAGCACGTGCAAGCCAGCGCACGGCTGCAGGGACGCTGTCGAGCCGCGACACGAGCGAGTTGACGGCAGCGAGTCGACCTTGGCGGCGGCGGCCGGCGCGAGCCAGCCTCGGCGTCACCACTCCCGCCAGAGCCCTTGCTTGGTCTCGCAGGTCGCTCCCACACACCCTACCGCACCGCGAGCACCACCGAGTACCCGCCAGACCGGCTGCGAGAGGCCAGCTCGTCCTCGTCGCCCACTCGCCTCGTCCTCCCACCCCGGCCTCGTCCGACTCAACTCTCGACCTCGGCTGCGACGTGCATGGGCCCGGCAGCTCACTAAATGTGCGTCAAATATCCCTGCACTCCCGGATCACCCTCGGGCGGTGGGTCTGCCGCGACCCGCCATCAGCAGCCAAACACGCCGGCACGCCCTCGCCGCCCACGTCAAGCGCACGTTCGACACGTCCTGCGACGTGCACCACGTCCTCTTGCACCCTTTGCGGCCATCCTGAGCCGCAGAGACGAGGTTGCGGCCGCGCCCCCACCGACGACGCGACTGCCGATCAGGCCGGCGGCGAGCGGCGGAACACACCGTCCCTGCAGCGGTTCAGAATGTACCCTGACGCCTCGCTTGCCCCCACCCGCGACAGCTACCCCGACCTCGCAGCCACCATGGCGCCCCCGCCCGTGCCGGCCCCTCCTCCACCACCCGCCGCATCTGCCTCGCCCTCGAACGAGCTGCGGCGGTTTAACGTCCCTCCAGCCCCACCGCCCAACGCCCCTCTCACCGTCTGCGCGTCCGGCAGCGGCGCTATCCCCTCGTCCGACCTCGCCAAGCTCCGCGCGAGCCTCACCCTCTCGCGCATCGTCGCCGCCGACCGCTCGGCGTGCGTCGACGGCAACCGCCACGTCCTCGGCGAGCGCACCGCCACCGACCGCCGCGCAGCCGCCGCCGAGGACGCAAAAGTGCGCGACGCCGAGCGCGACCGCAAGCGCAAGCGCGACGAGGACGACCGCCGCGCGACGGCCGAGCGCGACGAGCGCGACGGCGCCGCAAGGCGACACGCGGTCAAGGCGGCGAGCAAGGGCCGGGTCAAGCACGAGGACGACGAGCGGCGAGTGCGCGAGTCCAAGGACAAGCAGCGCGCGCTCGACGTCCTCCAGCTCGTCCAGGACAGCGAGGCGGGGAGGAGAGGCGCCGACGCAGACGGCGACACGGCCATGGGCGACGGCTCGACGTCAACATCGGCGGCGGCAACGCCGACATCCGTCGCGACGCCTGCGCCCGCAATAGTGCCCGCCAAGGGTGCGTCCTGCCCCCCTCCCCCCTCGTCCTCAAAGCGCATCCTGACCCCCTAGCTCCACACAGGCGCACGCACAGCAGCAGCTTCACCCGACCCCGATGACGAGCCGTTGCAGCCAAAACCGCCTCGACAGTGAGCCCTGCCTGTTCGACCTCGGGCCGTCGGTCGTCGTCGTGCTCACCTTTCCTTTCCCGCAGCCTCGACAAGAAGAAGCGCAAGCGGGACCAAGTCGTCGAGTCCGACAATTCGGACACCGATGACGGTGCGCTGTGACCGTTCCCTGCTTCCACAGAGCCCAACTCACGTCCACCTCGTCGCAGATCGCCCGCTCCTCCAGAAGGTCCGCACGCTCGACTCGATCTCGGAATCCTCCCCGTCCACTTCCTTCACCCCTCAGCACCCTTCCCTCGCCTCTACGCACGCGCCGCACCAGAATGGCACCGACACGTTGAGCAACATCGAGCGCAAGCTCAAGGAGGAGCGCTTCACCAAGGTGCGCCGCCACTCGCCCTACCTTGCCCTTCCTCTCGACGCCCGTCACTCACGCTCGTTCGCCCTTCCTGTGCAGCACTCGATCCCGATCAAGCCTCCTGCTCCGGGCGCCGCGAGCGCCTTCTACATCCCGTCCACGCCGCTCGCACCTCCTCGACAGCCTGCCGTTCCGCCAGCCCCGACGCCAAAACGGCAAGCAGACGTGCGCGGCGACTTCTCGAACGCCAAGCCGGGCCAGCAGATCGCACACTCGACCTTCACCAACTGGGTCGACGCGTACCTGCGCCCGTTCGGCGAGGACGATCTCGCCTTCCTCGCGCCCAAGGTGCGTCCCGTTCTCCCTTCTCCCTTCTCCCTCCTCCTTCCTGCTGGGTCAGGACTGACTCGTACGCTCCTCTCACACAGCCCGAGGACATCAACGCGTACCTGATCCCGCCGCTCGGCAAGCACTACCTCGACCGATGGGAGGACGAGGACGGCGCGCATCACTCGCAGCAGCAGCAGCACTGGCACGCGTCGCCGCTCGAGCCACCCGTCCTGCCGCGCCTGCGCCCCGACGCCCTCACCGAGGACGCCCTCGGCGGCGAGAGCATCTTCCTCGGCCCGCTCAGCGAGCGCCTCATGGCGGCGCTCGCCATTGAGCCGGGGCTCGCCGCGACGGGCTCTGGAGGAGCAGGAGCGGTCGACGACACGGACAAGGACGACGGCGAGCCGCAGCCCAAGATGCCGATCGACGCCGTCGACCTCGAGGAGCGCGTCAAGCGCGAGTTGCGGTACCTCGGCGTCCTTCCCGATGAAGATGTGCGTCCCTCTCTCCCTCTCTCTCGTCGTGCGTCTCTCAATAGGCGGGCCCTGACGCTCGGTCATCTCCCGTGCAGGTCGACTGGTCCACGCGCGAGGACGACGAGATCTCGTCGGCGCTGCGGGCGTGCCAGCGCCTGCTGCACCAGCAGACCGAGCTCAACGAGGCGCGCAAGTCGGTCCTCATGTCGCTCGTCAAGGACCGCATGGCGTACCAGGACTACGAGACGGCGCGCGACGCGCAGGAGCGCGTCATCGAGGCCGGCTGGACCAAGCGCACCCGGACCGACGTCAAGAAGAAGAAGAAGGGCAACAAGGACCGCGAGTACCGGCGACCGGGCGCCCCACCGCTCGCGAGCGACGACCCGGCAAAGGCGCCTGTGCCCGCCGAGCTGAGCGAGGCCGTCGAGAAGCGCGACCGCCTCGTGTCGACGTTCAAGCCCTTCTTCGACGGCGCCGCCGACGACGGCGAGGGCCACGACGGCGCGGCGCGGTTCTACGGCCTGCCGACGGCGAGCGTGTACCGAGGGCTCGAGGCGCTCCTCGACGACGAGCTTGGCGAGGGAGGGGGTCAGGGCGGGGCGACGACGACGGCGCCGCCCTGAGCGGCGGCTCCTTTTGCAGCAGCGAGCAGCGTGAATTGCAGTGATCACGTTGCACAAGTCTGGCGCACGCGAGAGCTTAGGTTTCGAGAGCGAGCGAAAGCAAGTCGTCGTCGAGGTCGAGCGGAAAGAAGGCGCGAGGAGGAGAAGGAGGCAGCAACTCGCTCTGTCTGCTCCGAGACTCGGTGGGACTGACAACCGTACAGCTCAGAGTAGATCTGCAGCTTGAACGAGGCCCAAGAGAGGCGAGGGAGAGCGGCGAGTTGAGCTCTGGTCCTTCGAGGGCTCGGGTCGGCAAAAGCTCGCGGCCAGCCTTCTCCTCTCCTCCTCGTCACGCAGCTATCGCCGTACGCTCCATTCTTGCTCTAGAGCAGGCCTAGTGCACCTCCAGAGACGCCGAGCTGACCCTCCTCGCCCCTCCCCTCGCCCTCGTACCGCCAACTCGCACCCTCGGCCCGCCCGTGCTCCTCCTCGCCCACCCTCGACCCCTCGCCTCGACACCGACCCGCCCTCGGCACCTGCCCACCCAGATGTCGCTCCAGTCTGCCGCACCGGTCGTGATCGATGGCAAGGGCCACCTCCTCGGTCGCCTCGCCTCGATCGTGGCGAAGCAGCTCCTCAACGGCCAGAAGGTCGTCGTCGTCCGCTGCGAGCTCATCAACGCGTCGGGCTCGTTCTTCCGTGCCAAGGTCAGCCACTGCACCCTCTCGTCGACGCTCGGGCGCACGCGGCGAGGGTCTCCGGGCCGGCGGGCGGGCGTGAGACGCCGTGGACGAGATTGCTCGCGCGGCAGCAGGAGGCCGTGAGAGGGGCCGACGCTGCGGCAGGGGTGCGCAGGAGGCCGGGACGGTGCAGGAGGTGCAGGAGCGGGCGGGCCGGGCCGCGCAGGTGCCGAGAGCGGGCCGCGACACCGCCCCGGTCAGCGAGCCCGAGTGCTCGAGCAGGTCCACCTCTCGCTCGAACGCGCGTACTGACTGCCGCCCCTCCCTGTCTACAGCTCCGCTACCACGAGTTCCTGAACAAGCGCCACCTCGTCAACCCGAAGAAGTCCGGCCCGTTCCACCACCGTGCGCCGTCGCGCATCTTCCACCGCACCGTCCGCGGCATGGTCCCCCACAAGGTGAGCCCGCACGCCCTTCTCCGCGACCTATGAGCGCTCTACGAGGCACTCGAGGTGCAGCGAACTGACTCTCGCATCCCGTCCAGACCTCGCGCGGCGCCGCTGCCATGGAGCGCCTCAAGGTCTACGAGGGTGTCCCCCCTCCCTTTGACCGCAAGCAGAAGGTTGTCGTCCCGTCGGCGCTCCGCGTCCTCCGCCTCAAGCCGGGCCGCAAGTTCTGCACCATCAAGGTGAGCCCCCTCGCCTCGCCCCCACTTGCGCCCCGACCTTTGCTCCCTCACGAGCTCGACGAGCTGACTCTCTCTCCCCTCCCCCTCTCGCAGCGTCTCTCTCACGAGGTCGGCTGGTCGTACCGCGACGTCGTCGACCGCCTCGAGGAGAAGCGCAAGGTCAAGGCCGCCGCGTTCTACGAGCGCAAGGTCGCCGCGCAGAAGGCCAACACGGCCGCGCTCAAGGCCGCCGCCAACGCCGCCCCGATCCAGGAGAAGCTCGCGGCCCTCGGCTACTAAGCGCATCGCGTCGTTCGGGCAGTGACGGAGCGAGCGGGACCAACTTGAGGAGGGAACCGGAGGGCGTCCGTGACGGAGCGGGACGAGCGGGGGGTGGTTGCCTTCCCGTCGAGGGAGGGCCCCCTGCGCGTTTTGTTGTGTGTGCTGGAGGGCCTGGAATGCCACCCGCGCCCTACCGACCGACTCGTCTGCGTCGTTCTGGCGGCCGTCGTTTCCCTCTTCCTCGTCGACTCTGTGCGCGCGAGAGCGGCTCTCTCTCTCTCTCTCTCGAGAGCTCGCCGGTCTTGGTCTTTCCGTGAGAGTGCACAGCGAGCCTGAGAGTGTCGCTTGCGCTGCACGAGAGCTCTACCAATGAGCGAGCTGCAGCTCTTGGCGTCGGCCCCTCCTCTTCCTCGAACCTCACCACGAGATGCGGCCACGGCTGCGGCCCGCATGGCTTGCCCTTGCGCTCTGTGCAGCGGTCGCACTGGCTGCCAGGCCACGCCCGCACGTGCTCAAGCGGCGCAACCCGACCTACGCCGCCTTGTCCGACTCGTCGCTCGACCACCTCGTCGCCCTGTCCGACCTCGACGACACGCTCGACTGGTCCAGGCCCGACACGCCCCTCGCCAAGCTCCTCGTACCACGCCCCGTCGGCAGCGCCAACTTGACCCGGCTCCAAGCCATGGTCGAGGGCCACTTCCGTGATCTCGGCTGGGTGCGTCCGGGTCGCTCTCTCTCTCTCTCTCCCGAGCACAGCTAACGACTTGCGAGCATGGACAGCACGTCGAAAAGGACTCGTTCGACGACTCGACGCCGTACGGCACCAAGTCGTTCACCAATCTCGTCTTCACGCACGACCCCTCGGCACCTCGTCGCCTCGTCCTCTCGGCCCACCTCGACAGCAAGTTCTTCCCGACCCCACCCGAGGACCAGTTCGTCGGCGCGACCGACTCGGCCGCCCCGTGCGCCATGCTCCTCGACCTCGCAACTGCGCTCACGCCCTGGCTCGACGCCCGCAAGCAGCGCGTCGAGGACGGCGGCGGCGAGGAGGGCCGCGAGGGCCAGGGCGAGTCGCTCCAGATCATCTTCTTCGACGGCGAGGAGGCGTTCAAGGACTGGACCCACGCCGACTCGATCTACGGGGCGCGGCACCTCGCCCACAAGTGGGGCGCGACGACCGACCACTCGCCGCAGCCCGTGCGAGCGACGCCCCGCTCCCCCTTGCGCCGCATCTCGCACCTCGTCCTCCTCGACCTCCTCGGCGCGCCCAACCCGCTCCTGCGCAACTTCTTCGTCCCGACCGGCTGGCTCTTCGACGAGTTTGGCCACGCCGAGGAGCGCCTCGGCCTCGCGGGCTACCTGTGGCAAGGGCTCGACGGCGACGCGTACACGGCCAAGAAGGGCGAGACGGGTGCGCGCGAGAGGAGCTTCTTCGTGCCGCGAGGGAGCGGCGTGAGCGCGTACGCCGGCCAGATCGAGGACGACCACCTGCCGTTCCTGCGCGAGGGCGTCCCTATCGTGCACCTCATCTCGGTCCCGTTCCCGCGAGTGTGGCACACGATCAAGGTGCGCCCCTGTTGTCTTCCCTCTTCCTCTCTCGCGCCGTCCTTGAGCGCCTTCCCACTGACGCTCGGACCTCCTCGCCCGCGACAGGACGACGCCGACGCGCTCGACCTCCCGACGATCAAGGCATGGGCCCTCATCATCCGCCTCGCCGTTGCCGAGTACCTCGGTCTCGACCCGTCGGCGCCGATACCCAACCTCAACTCGCCGACCGAGGTCAAGCGGGATCCGAGCGACTTGGTGCGCCCTCTCTTTCTCTCTCTTTCTCTCCCCTTTCTTGCGCCCTGGCGCTCGCCTCGGCGTCGTTTGGAGCTCGTGCACTGACCCTCCGTGCGGCGGCGTGCGCGATGGAGCAGTAGATGAGCAACGAGCGTGAGTAGATCTCGCCGGCAGAGCTGTACTTCTTTTCCCGCCGAGCGTTTCCGATTGCTCGAGAGCCAGACGGACAGAACGAGAGAGAGAGAGAGAGACGGATACTCGACGTCTGGCACCTGTCCCTGACCTACTTCTCTCGAAACCGAGAAGTTGACCTCGTCGAGCAAGAGAAGGTAGTTGCGAGACGCTCTCACTCCTCGAGAACAGTTTAATCCCGGGTTCCGCCGCTCTCAACGTCGTCATTGGGACGGGTACTCGACGTCTGGCACCTGTCCCTGACCTACTTCTCTCGAAACCGAGAAGTTGACCTCGTCGAGCAAGAGAAGGTAGTTGCGAGACGCTCTCACTCCTCGAGAACAGTTTAATCCCGGGTTCCGCCGCTCTCACCGTCCTTGCTGAGACAGATACTCGACGTCTAGAGCCTGACCCTGACCTACTTCTCTCGAAACCGAGAAGTTGACCTCGTCGAGCAAGAGAAGGTAGTTGCGAGACGCTCTCACTCCTCGAGAACAGTTTAATCCCGGGTTCCGCCGCTCTCACCGTCCTTGCTGAGACAGATACTCGACGTCTAGAGCCTGACCCTGACCTACTTCTCTCGAAACCGAGAAGTTGACCTCGTCGAGCAAGAGAAGGTAGTTGCGAGACGCTCTCACTCCTCGAGAACAGTTTAATCCCGGGTTCCGCCGCTCTCAACGTCGTCATTGGGACGGGTACTCGACGTCTGGCACCTGTCCCTGACCTACTTCTCTCGAAACCGAGAAGTTGACCTCGTCGAGCAAGAGAAGGTAGTTGCGAGACGCTCTCACTCCTCGAGAACAGTTTAATCCCGGGTTCCGCCGCTCTCACCGTCCTTGCTGAGACAGATACTCGACGTCTAGAGCCTGACCCTGACCTACTTCTCTCGAAACCGAGAAGTTGACCTCGTCGAGCAAGAGAAGGTAGTTGCGAGACGCTCTCACTCCTCGAGAACAGTTTAATCCCGGGTTCCGCCGCTCTCAACGTCGTCATTGGGACGGGTACTCGACGTCTGGCACCTGTCCCTGACCTACTTCTCTCGAAACCGAGAAGTTGACCTCGTCGAGCAAGAGAAGGTAGTTGCGAGACGCTCTCACTCCTCGAGAACAGTTTAATCCCGGGTTCCGCCGCTCTCACCGTCCTTGCTGAGACAGATACTCGACGTCTGGCACCTGTCCCTCACCTACTTCTCTCGAAACCGAGAAGTTGACCTCGTCGAGCAAGAGAAGGCAGCTGCGAGACGCTGTAGCTGCTCGAGAGTAGTTTAATCCCGGGTTCTGTCGCTCTCACTTCCTCGTCGAGAGGCATCGTCTGGGTACGAGATCTAGTCGTTGCCGCAAAGCGTCGCTACAACAGGGCACACACGCCGTCGTCCTCGTCGCCCGCCCCTGCCGCTCGTCGCCTCCTCACTCGTCGTCCGAGTCCTGGTCGCCCTCGTCGTCGTCTGCAACGCCGACGATGCCCGCGCCGCTCTTATTGAGGTCCTTGCCGAGGGCGCGCAGGCGGTCGCCAAAGACGGTGCGGATGCCCGGGTTGCTGTGAGAGAGGCCCGTCGTCAGGTCGAGTCCGGCTCGAGGAGAGAGAGAGGAAGAGAAAGAGAAAGAGAAAGAGGGTGACGCACGTTGCCGTGTCCCAGATCTGCAGGTTGGCCTTGGAGCCGGCGACGGCGAGCGTCGTCGGGTCGTCGGGGCAGAACGACGCCGAGAAGACCTTGCCCTGCAGGAGTGGAAGGAGGACGACGAGGGTCAGTCACGTGAACACGAGAGCGCGAGAGAAGCGAGAGGGGACGCACAACGCCGAGGTCGCGAGCGGTGACGAGGCTGATGTGGCGCTTGCCGCCGTCCTGCTCCTGCACGTTCCACACCTTGACCATGTTGTCGGTGCCGCCCGTGACGATGCAGCCCTTGACGAGCGGGTTGATGTCGAGGCTCGACACGCTCGAGTCGTGCGCGGCGAGGGTCCACAGGCTCTTGCCACGCTTGACGCTCGCGGCGTCCTGGGCGACCTCGAGCATGCGGCTGTCGAACGCCTGCACGGTGCCGTTCTCCATCGAGACGAGGAACGACGCAGGCTCCCACGGGTCCCACCGCAGGCACTCGACGTCCGAGTCGACCTTGGTCCCGACGCCCGAGTCGGGCGCGCGCGAGTCGAACACGCGCACGGTGCCGTCCCACGCGCCCGACAGGAGCACGGTGGGCTCCTTGGGGTTCCACTGGACGCTCTGCACCTTGTCGCCGTGGAGCGAGTCGAACGAGCGCAGGGCCGGCGACGACGTCGGGCGCGCGAGGTCCCACAGCTTGATCGTCTTGTCGGCCGACGACGACGCGAGCAGATTGCGGTGCGCGCGGTTCCACGACAGCGACAGGATGGCGTCGACGTGGTACTCGGCGTTGGCGACGACCTTGGGCTTCTTGGCCTTCTTCTTCTTCTTCTTCTTCGAGCCGTCGCCGCCGAGGGTCGCGACCACGTCGGGCACTGGTGGTGCGGGTGCGGGCGCGTTCGGGTCCTTGGGCGCCGGGCCGAGGATCGCGTCCGGGTACAGGCCGTCGACGACGTCGAGCGACCAGATCTCGATCTCGGGGTCCATGGTGCCGACCGCGATAAAGTTGCCCTTGTCGCTCGCGTCGCCGTCGGTCCGGCCGGGGCAGAAGTCGAGCCACTCGAGGCACAAGGGCATGGCGGGCAGGAGCAGGTCGTGGTGGACGTAGAGGTTCTCCTCGCGCTCGTCGTAGACGTACACCTCGAGCTGCGACACGTCGTCCTCGGTCTTGGCCGCGACGATGAGGTTGTCGGTCGGCTGAATCTCGAGCTCTTCCCGCTCGAGCTGCTCGTCCTCCTGCTTCTGTGGACGTGGAGAGGCGCACAGGACGCGAGGGAGTCAGAGAGGCGGCCCGACGGGGAGGAGGGGGTGCGAGCGTCGCGAGGGAGAGGTAGGTGGACGCACCGACTCGAGCGTGATGTACGGGTCCTCGTCGTTGTTGCCGTAGTACGTCAAGCCCTTGATGTTGCTGAACGCGCCCATGGCTGCAGGGATCGAAGACAGGAGGGTCAGTCTCTCGGAACGCAGGAGGGCAGGTCCGACGAGAGAGAAGGCGGTGGACGCACCCGTGCTCCCGCTGACCTCGTCGTCGTACGCGTCCAGGTTGTACTTGGCCATGTCGTCCTCCTCGTCGCCCTCGCCGTCTGCCGCACCCGTCGCGCCGCTGCCGCCCGGTGCCGCACCGCCCTTGGCCGCCGCCTTGATCCGCTTGGCCGCCTGGTTGGCCGCCTGCTGCGCCGCCGCGTCCTCGTCGCCGTCGACCGCCATCGACGCGTCCTCCTCGTCGTCCTCGGCGATGGCGTCGTCCCGCTCTGCCGCCGACTCGTCGTCGCTGCGCACGGGTTCAAGGGCCGTCAGTCCTCGCGTTCCTGGGTCCCGACCGCTCAACAGAGAGAGAGAAATGCTGCGACGCACTCTTCCCAGCCCTCGCCCTCGTCGCCGTCGCGGTCGGCCTCGGCCTCGAGCGCCTGAGCCATCTCGAGCTCGAGCTTGGCCGCGTCGAGCTGGCCCCTCGCGAGCCCTTGGACGCGCGCAAGCTCGTCCTCGTCGACGCGGTACTTGGTCGGGTGCTGCGCGGCCGCGCCGCGCGGGATCCACGACAGGGACGAGATGAGCGAGGTCATTGTCGGGGGAAGGGAGGGAAGGAGGAGCGAGAGGAGGTCGGGGAGGGTGGGAGTGGCGGTGGAGCTGTCGAGTGGGGCTGGTGGCGCTGCGCAGCTAGATCTCGGTGGCTGAGCTGGGTTGCGGCGAGCGCGAGAGGTTGCGCTGGGCGGTGCTGGGCGGGGAGAAGAGGTCCGGCTCGAGGGCGAGGTGCGCGGTCGGGAGAGCGGCCGTGCGGGAGCTTGGTGGTGCTCTGGCGGGTGTGCTGGTCGAGCTGGCCTGGGCGAGCTCGTGGTGTCGAGGCGAGAGCTTCCTTCTCCTCATCTCTCGCTCACCTCGAGATCAAGCTCGAACCGACGGCCAGGTCTCAGCATTCTCGCTCACGTCGCACACTCCGTTCACCGGCTCCAAATGGCATCTCAACGAACTACACACGCACGCCCGACCGCTCCCGACGCACCCGCAGCGCCTCGTCAATCGCCCACATGCCCTTGACGAACGCCTCGCCGTCGAGCGCCGTCTCGCCGCTCGCGACCTCCTCCCTGCGCACGCGAGAGCGACGTCAGGACCGACCGTATAGTGAGAGAACAAGAGCGAGAGAGGGACGCACCAGATCCTGCGCAGCTCGCCCTCGGGCAAGCCGCTCCTCCTCCACACGCCGGCGACCACCTGCCCCTCGACCTCGTCCTCGTCCGCGTCTCGCTCGACGAGCCGGGCAAAGACGTCCTCGTACCGCCGTCGGGCGCGCGCGTCGACCGGGCGCTCGGGCAACGCCGAGAGAGGCGTCGCGGGCTTGTTGGGCACAAGCCACGCCGGGCTCGCCATCCCGGGCGACGACGAGGCTGACGAGGCCGTCGAGACGAGCGACGTGCGCGACGCGGTGGCGGCAGACGACGAGCCGAGGCGCGACGAGGCGGCGTATGGCTTGGCTCGTGCGGCCGGGCCTGCCGCCACCGAGAGCGGGTCGTGCGTCGTCGGTTTGGGCACGAGGGCGGGTCGCGCCGCCGCCGTCGTCGGCCCGCGACTTGGGCCATCACCCGAGAACCCTTGCGGGCGGGGAGGAACGGCGCGCTGCGGCCCTGCGGCGGCGCCGGCGGCCGTCGCCGCTCGAGGTCGAGGTGGGAGCGGCGGGCTCGGCGCGCTCGCTCCCGCCAGGCCGCCTGCGCTCGCCGTCGGCGGGTGGACGCTCAGAGTGGATGCGCGTCGCGGTGGGAGGAGCGGTGCGGGTGCAGGTGAGGCGGATGACGAGGATGAGAGAGTCGACGAGCGAGTCGGCAGAGGGGGAGGGGCAGGTTGTGCGGCGTCGGACACAGGGGTGGTGTGCTTGGCGGCAGCAAAAGCTGGCCTCGGCGGTGGTGGCGGGCGCGGCTTGGGCTGCGGGTCGGCGAGTGACGCCGTGCTGCCAGCGCGCGAGCGAACTGGGGACGCGGCGAGGTGGGCCGAGAGTGCGGCCTCGGCGTCGCGGAGGGGCGGGTCGCTCGGCGCGGGTGCACGCGAGTGGGGCTGGACGAAGGAAGGGCGGGTGCGCTGCTGTTGAGCAGCCGGGGACGAGCGCGAGGTGGTGGGCGAGGTGGGCCGCTCGCCGCGGGCGGTGAGGGCCGAGGTCGAGGTGTGGGCCGGGTCGGCCTTGAACGGGGTGGTGTTGGTCGAGGGCTGGATGTAGCGTGCGAGGACTTGAGGCGAAGGTGCGCGCTGAGGGGGCGAGGGCGCGGTCGACGACGAGGAAGTGGGGCCGAGGGTCGACGACGACGGCGAGGGAGAGGTGAGAGGGGATGCGGCGGCTTGTTGGAGCTGGGCGATGCGGTCCTTGAGCGACAGGGGAGGTACAGACGAGTCGTGCATGGGTCGGAGTGGGGTGAGGTCGAGGTCGAGGTGGTGATGACGACCGAGGGGAGGGGGACGCGGGCGAGAGTCGGTCGAGGTGTGGGCAGGGCAGTGCAGGTGCGAGTGTTGCTGTGGTAGTACTGTGGGCAACCTCGGGAGAGAGTAGAGTGGGGGTTCAGGGCGAGGTTGACTCCCTGGACTCGAGGCGAGCCGGCAGCCCACCGTCGCTTCTTTCCTGCGACCTCTCGCTCTGCACCCAGTCCTCTGTCAGTCTCGCCACCCTCTCACAGGCCACCACAGACACCGACTCATCCGAACCCGCCCGCAGCATGCTGGCCCGCACCGCGCTCCGCTCGTCTTCCATCGTCTCGCGCTCCATGGCTACCTCGGCTCCCGTCTCGGCCGCAACCTGGCTCAAGGACCCCTCCAAGAAGTACCTGTGAGTACTCGCTCGCTCCAGCACCTCTCCTCTCTCCGCCCCCAGCTCCCTCGCCCCTCCGTCCGCCCGCCCGCCCCGGCACTTCGCGGGTTTAGTGCTCGGAGCTGTCCCACACACGGCCCGCCAACCTCGACAGCCGCCTACGGTCCCTGGCGGCGACCCGACTCGCACCACGACCGCGAGCGACAACGGCCCACCCACCGCCCACGCCCTCACCGTCACACTCGTCGCCGCTTCCCTCGTCTTCCTCCCCGATCACCTCGACGCAGCCCCTCCTTCGCAACGGACCCGCACTGACTCTGTTCCTCGCCCGCTACAGGCCCTTTGCCTCGGTCAACCTCCCCGACCGCACATGGCCCGACAAGCGCATCACAAAGGCCCCGCGCTGGGCCTCGTCCGACCTGCGCGACGGCAACCAGGCCCTCGTCAACCCCATGACGCTCGCCCAGAAGAAGCGCGTGTTTGACCTGTGTGTCCCCCTCGTCCTCGTCCTCTGCCTCGCCCGCCGGGTCGCTCACCGACCAACGCGCCCGCAGCCTGCTCAAGTGCGGCTTCAAGGAGATCGAGGCCGGCTTCCCGAGTGCGAGCGAGACCGAGTTCCAGTGGATCCGCTCGCTCATCGAGCAGAACCAGACTCCCGACGACGTGTGGCTCCAGGTGCGTCCCCTCTCTCTCGAGAAGAGCGCGCCCGTCGACGCCGTCGCCTGACCCTCTGTCCCCTCGTCCCCAGGTCTTGACGCCCGCTCGCGGCGAGCTCATCAAGCGCACGTTCGAGGGCGTCCGCGACGCCAAGAACGTCATCCTGCACATGTACAACGCCGCCGCCCCGGTCTTCCGCGACCAGGTCTTTGGCAACACGCAGCAGCAGACGATCGACCTCGCCGTCAAGCACGTCAAGATTGTCCGCGAGCAGGTCGACGCCGCCATCGCCCGCGGCGACCGCACCAACTGGCAGTTCGAGTACTCGCCCGAGGCCTTCTCGCAGACCGAGCCCGACTTTGCCGTCCGCCTGTGCGACGCCGTCCAGGAGGCCTGGTTCGCCGGCCGCGACAAGGCCAACGAGCGGCCCATCATCTTCAACCTGCCCGCCACTGTCGAGGTCGCGACCCCGAACAACTACGCCGACCAGGTGCGTCGTCGTCGTCCCTCCCTCGCTCGTCCTCGCCTCGTCGTTGCCTGACCCTCGGACCCCCTTCTTTTTCCCAGATCGAGTACTTCTGCCGCAACATCAAGGACCGCCAGCACATCGTCGTCTCGCTCCACACGCACAACGACCGCGGCACGGGCGTCGCCGCATCCGAGCTCGGCCTCATGGCCGGCGCCGACCGCGTCGAGGGCTGCCTGTTCGGCAACGGCGAGCGCACTGGCAACGTCGACCTCGTCACGCTCGCGCTCAACATGTACACCCAGGGCGTCAGCCCCGAGCTCGACTTTTCCAACCTCGAGGAGTGCATCGAGGTCATCACGGCGTGCAGCGACATCCCTGTTCACCCGAGGGCGCCCTGGGCTGGCGAGCTCGTCTTTACCGCCTTCTCTGGGTCTCACCAGGTGCGCTCCCTCCCTCTCTCTCTCTCTCTCTTCGTCGGCGCGAGGTACTGACGACGCTCGCCGCCTGCAGGACGCCATCAAGAAGGGCTTCGGTCACCGCCAGAAGGACGCGAGCCAGCCGTGGTCGATCCCGTACCTGCCCATCGACCCGGCCGACATTGGCATGACGTACGAGGCCGTGATCCGCGTCAACTCGCAGTCGGGCAAGGGCGGCGTCGCGTACCTCGTCCAGCGGTCGCTCGGCCTCGACCTGCCGAAAAAGATGCAGCCGGCCTTCTACCAGGTCGTGCAGGCCATCTCGGAGCGCACGGCCAAGGAGATCACGGGCGACGACATCGAGAAGGCGTTCCGCGCGACGTACTACTACGGGCCCGAGCACAACGGCCAGTTCACGCTCGTCGACTACTCGTTCGCGACGGGCGCCGACGGCAAGAAGACGTTCACGGGCACGATCGACGTCAACGGCGAGCACAAGCACATCAAGGGCGACGGCAACGGCCCCGTGTCGGCGCTCCTCGACGCCCTCAACGATGCGTGGCCCGTCGGCGGCTCGAAGCAGCACCACCTCTCGGTCAAGGAGTACTCGGAGCACGCGCTCGGTGCGGGCTCGGACGTGCGCGCCGCGTCGTACGTCCAGCTCGTCGACACGACGACGGGCCGCGCCGTGTGGGGCGTCAGCTCGTCGACCGACGTGACCGAGGCGTCGCTCAAGGCCGTCCTGAGCGCCGCGAGCAACGCCGCCGTCGACGCCGAGCGCCGCTACTCTGAGATTGAGGACGCCGTTATCGGCGGCCGCGTTTGAACGCGCGCATCTCACTCTCGCTCTGTCTATCCTCTCTCTCTCTCTCTCTATCCCGCCTCGTCGAGCAGTTCCTCTCCTCCCCCTCTTTGTCCCTGTTCCCCTCGCCCTCTCTCGCAGTACCCATCCTGTCTCTATCTCTCAAAACATGCAACCCTCGAGTGTCAAAGCGTGAACAATTGACTGCACGACCGCAAGAGAGAGAGAGGGCAAAGATTGAGGAAGGAGAGCTCAGTACGCCTCGCCCGGCCCATCGTCGTCGTCGTCCTCGACTGCGCGGTACCCGCCGTACTCCTTGCGCCAGTCGTCGTCGCCCCCTCCCTCGGGCACGTCGTCGTCGGCGTCGGCGTCGCGCACGATGTCCTCGCCCTCGTCCTGCGCCGCCTGCAGTGCCATCTCGACCTGCCAGCCGCTCGAGCCTCCTCCTCCCTCGTCGTCCACCTCGCGCTCTTCAGCCGTGCCTGCCGCCGCGTCGTCGTCGTCGTCGTTGTCGCTGCCCGTGCCCCTCGCGAGGTACGCCTCGAGCGCGGCCCGGTTCATGATCTTGGTCCGCCGCTTGCGCGGCTCGAACCCGTCGTCGTCGCCGTCGCTCGCGCCGCGCTTGACCCCTCGCCGCGTCCCACCCTGCGCCGCGTCCGCCCCGGGCAGCGGCGCCGCCTCGAGGAAGTTGCCCTGGGCGTCGCGCGGCGCCGAGAAGGCGTACTTGGGCCGGGGCGGCTTTTTCGGCGGCTGCGACGCCGAGCCGTCCTCGCCTCGCTCCTCGCGCTTGAGCACGATCGCCTCGTCTGCGACGAGCATGGCTTGCGTCGCCGGAAGCTGGAGATGGCGTTGCACCTCGTCGCGAGGACGGACGTACGCCTCGAGCTCGCCCTCGGCGAACAGCTCGTCGTCGGTGATGTCGGCGACGGGCTTGGTCCACAGGAGGCGCTCGAGACGCGACGAGGGGCCGGCGGCGGTGCCGCTCGATGATGCGGAGGGCGAGGCGCCGCGAACGACCTGGGCGAGGTCGAGGCCGGCGAGGAGGAGCTGGCGGACCTGGGCGTCGTTGGCGGCGGCGGCGTGGACAGCGAGGGCGTTCGGGTCGGGCGAGGTACGAGGCGTTTGCGACAGCGATCGTCCGGCTCGAGTCGAGCCGGCGACGGCCAACATGAGGGCCGAGGGCAGCGGCTTGACGTCGCGCTCGCGCGAGTACAGCGCCGGACGGCTCGCTTTGGCGGCCCGGCGGTTCGTGTCGGGCGCTGCGACAGGAGAGAAAGCCGCGACGAAGGGCTTGACAGGAGGCGGCGACGAGGTTTGTCGAGCGGCGGAAACGCCCGGGCTCGAGAGGCGCGCCGGGTCCTCGGCGCCGGGCTCGTCGTACCCGATCGCGCCGTAGTACCGGTCTGCGGCGGCCGAGTCGAACAGCGGGTCGTGCATGTACGACAGGTCGTCGTCGTACTCGTCGTACTCGAGGTCGGGCGGGTCGACGCGCTTGGCGTCCTCCTCGCCGGGAAGGAAGAGCGGTGCGACCGGCTCGGCGGCCATGAGCGTCTTGCGCAGGGCGACAATGTCGGCCGTGTGCGCGACGACGTCGAGCTTGACCGACTTCCTCGAGCGAGCCGTTTTCGACCGCTTGCGCTTGACGCCGTACAGCGGGTCGGCGGGCACGGCGAGACCGAGCGCGTCGGCCCAGGGCAACTTGGCGGCAAAGTCCTGCAGGAGCCGGTTGATGTCGCGATACCGCTCGAGGACCGAGTAGTCGCTCGTGCCGAGCATCCACGCGAACTCGTCGGCGAACTCTTGCACGATCGGGGCCGGCTGGCGAGCGACGCCCTCGATGGCGGCGATGACGACGGCCGCTGCGACACCCTCGCCGTGGCGACCGGCAGTGAGCGACAGGTCCGACGTGAGGGCGAGGAGGCCCGTCGCGAGCTCGCGCACGGCCGGCAGCTGCACCGAGCGGACCCAGGCGGCGTTGGCGGCCGAAAATGTCGCCTTGCGCGAGCCGACCGAGCGGTGCAAGACGGGGAGCGGCATCGAGTTGCTCGATGATGCCGACGAGCTCGTGAGGGCAAAGGCCGACTGGAGGTGGACGAGAACGCGCTCGAGGAAGAGGGCTGGGTCGTGGTCGTCGTACTTGACCTTGAGCTCGAACTTGACGACCTTGACGGCGCGCGAGAGGATGATCGGGTCCTCGATCTCGATGAGCGACTGCGAGCGCGAAGAATCGTCAGGGCCTGACAGAGCCTCGGCGCGGAGAGAGGAAAGGAGAAGGGACGCACCGCCAACTCGAGCAGCCACAAGGTCTTGCCCGCCTCCCTCGCCGCGACGTAGACACATGCGGCGCAGAACAGCTCGGCTTTGCGACCCCAACGGAAGCCGAGCCGCTCTCGCGCCCGCTCGAACAGGTACCGCACGCGGTCCCGCAGTGACGAGGCGAGGTCGTAGCGCGTCAAGAGCCGCCGCATGTACTGCTCGGTCTCGGTCTGCGCGCCAGGGGTCCTGTGTCAGTCCGATGTCGCTCGTGTGGATAGACAGATGCGAGGGGCGCACCTTGCGCTGCGCCTGGTAGATGGCCGTCCCTCCCTCGGCTACCCTCGTCCACGTGCCGACCCTCTGCCCGACCCTTTGGGTGCCCATCGCCCCGCCAAATGTCCCACCGCCGCTGCCAACGTACGTCCTGCCGTTCTGGAACGCGTCCTCGGCGTCGACCCGCTGCAAGAGCTCGAACGAGTGCGACGCCGACGAGGTCGAGACGGTGCCGCAGCGGGTGCACGCGAGGGTGCCGATCTCGGCGACGTACTCGAGCGCGCCGTGCGCGCCGCACGCGGGGCAGTCGAGGTCGGACATGGCCTGCGAGTGCGAGGGCGGCGAGTCGAGGCGGTGCAGAGAGGCTGACGGCGGGCAAGAGGTGGAGGTAGGGGGCCCGCGGACAGGGTGCTCGTGCCGTCTGCTAGCCGACCGGATGCACTAGCCCTGCCGCAGGGACCGAGGGACGCGAGGGATTGTGGGTGGAGATGCGGATGGTGATGAGGAGAGGCGGTGGGTGCGAGGTGCTGGGCGGGCGAAGGAGCGCTCTGCCGTGACGAAAGTCACTCGGGGTAGCGCTGTGTGCGAGCTGGCCAGGTCGAGGCTGTGGTCGGTGAACGAGAGGTGGAGCAAGCACGCGCGACTCTCCCGGCCGCCTCGAAGTTGCGAACGGCCAACTGTCGCTCGTGCTCGTTCGATGCTCTATCAGTCAGGCGCACTTGACCAGGCATGCTCGGGAATGCGCTTTCGGAAGCTTGCGAGGCGACCGCCGAGAGCGTGCCCGCCTCGAGCCGCCCGGTCCTCTCGGGCGCTCTCGTCGCAACCTCGCCGTCTCGCAAGGCCAGAGAGAACAGCGTCTTTACAGGTGGACGGAAAGTACAGAGACGTACAAGCACTCGAGCTCCGCTGTCGCTCAGAGCGCCGTTCCTGTGGACGCGGGGACAAGGAAGAGTCAGTGGCGCTCCTGCTGCCGGCGAGGCGGAAGAGGGCGACGCACCTCGCTCGAAGTTCTCGCGCGTCTCGCGCGTGACGTCGTCGTAGTACCGCTGCAGCTTGCGGTTGAACTGGCGGTTCTTCTCGTTGATCCAGGTGATGTCGCCCTCGTCCTCGTCGGCGCGCTTGCGCGACCGCTTCTGCCGCTTGTCGAGACTGTTCGCGACGTGCTCGGGACGGTCAGCGAGGCATCCTCGGCAACAGGAGGGGGACGAGGGGGCAACAGAGAGAGAGAGGGCTGGACGCACTCGCTGTTGAGCTTGCCAATGACGCGGTCAATCTGGTCCTCGGTCGGCTTGTGGTCGGCGTAGACGAAGCTGTTGGCGTCGCGGTACAGCCCGTTGGGGTCGATGACGGGGCCGACCTCGCCGGCGCCGCTCCCGGACGCGGCGAGCGCGCTCGAGGTGGACTGCTCGCCGTCGCGCTGCTTCTTGTACGCGAGCAAGTCGGGCTTGAAGTCGTCCAGGTCCTGGAGGTGACGAGCAGGGTCAGGAGATCGTTCGAGGGAAAGACAGGGAGGAGGACGCGCACCTTCTTGTATTTCCGCCGGGCGAGGTCGTCGTAATCTGTCGGCGGCGCGAGGGGGTCAGGCTCCTCGAGCGCGTTCAGGGACGCAGAGTAGAGGGGACGCACCGGTAAAGCCTTGGTCGGCCCGCCTCGCCTTGCGCGCCTGCTTCTTATCCCACCGCTCGTTGTCCTCGATCGAGTACTCCCAGTTCTTGGACCGCTCGAGGTCCTCGCCCGTCTCGGTCGCGCGCTCCTTCTCGCCCATGGCCTCGGCCTGGGCGCGCTTGCGCTCGAGGCGTGCGAGGGTGCGCGCGCTCGCACGCTGCGTGTTGAGCTCGGCGATGACGTCTTGACGGTTGGCGCGCGCCGACTCGCTCTGCGGGACGAGGGTCGAGGCGAGGGTCAGGACTCGAGCTCGACGGGCGGGCGCGGGAGAGGACGAGGCGAGCTCGGGGACGCACCATGCGTTGCCGCAGCTGCTTCATCTTGGCCATGCGGTCCTCCATCGAGGCGCCAGACGACGGCCCTGCCCGTGTTGGCTCGTCGTCGTCGGCCACACTGGGCGCCGCCTCGTCGCCCTCGGCTGCTGCCGCGTCCTCGTGCGCGATCTGCTCCTGCTGCTCCTGCTCGGCATCGACCTCGTCGACTGCTGCGCCGGCGGCGGTGCCGGTGGTCGAGGGTGCGGTTGCGTCGAGCTCCTCCGGGGCGGGAGGCGGCGGGGCGGCGGCAGCGTCGGGAGCTGCGGCGGCCTTCTTGCCGCGTGCAGACTTGCGTGGCGGCATGGTCGTGCTCGGGCTGGAGTGCACGAAGCGGGTGTGGTCGAGAGAGGGCGAGCCGGACAGCACGGAACCGAGATGAGAAGCTGAGTCGCCGTCTTGTGGCGTTCTCGCCGGGAGGTCGACCGGGTGTACGACAGTGTACCGAGCGCGCCAGAGCACGCTAGACCACCGTCTGAGCGCTGTGGGTCGAGTGCGGTCGCCGTTGGCCTCGGCCGCCTCGGCGCGGCGGGCTCTCGTGTTGCTCGCCTCTCGCCCACGTCCACGCCTCGTCGCGCCTTCCTGTGAGCCCCTGCCCTACTCTTCAGAAGCCCAGGACCGCCCCCCCGTCGACCGAGCGAGCCCCGCCGCGGTGTCGCCCCTCCCTCGTCCGCGGTCCCACTTGTCGCTCGCCCCCTCGTCCCCCCGGTCGGCTGCGCACCCCGAGCACTCTCGCCCTCGCACCAAGGCCGCCCACACTCGACCACGACCCGGTGCAGCACCCTCGCGCGACCTCGTCCACGCCTCAGCCTCGCGCCCTCGCCCTTCAGTCACCTCTCGGCGCGTGCCTCGACACACGCGGACCGCTCGCTCGCTCCCTCCTCGCGAGCCCCTCGAGCGGTCGACCGACTGGCACCGCCCACCTCGTGCGATCTCGCCGGTCTCGCCGTCGCACCAGCAACCGGGTCCCGCAGGCGGTCGACGACAGGATGCTGACCTCGCTCTCTCCCCTCCCCCTCCACTCCCACCTCGGTTCATCCCTCGCCGTCGTCGTCCTGCACCATTCTCGCTGTCGCAGCCTCCTCTTCCACCTCGTCGTCACCTCGTCAGGCCAGCATGCAGACCATCAAATGCGTTGTACGTCTTCGCCCCTCCTCGTCGTGTCCACCCTCCCCCCCGCTTCGGCGGCGGCGGGCTCGGGCTCGCCGCAGTCGCCCTCTTCCTCTCGTCGACCCACACTCACTCTCGTGCGCATCCCTGCAGGTCGTCGGTGACGGTGCCGTCGGAAAGGTTCGTCGCCTCGAACGAGCCGGCCTGGCTTCCGTTCTTCGAGCTCCCCGAGCCGGCACTGACTGTGGCCGACTTGCCTCCCTCCCCTGTCCCACGCCGACCACGCCGACCCGCCAACTCGCCGACGCATCGTCAAACAGACCTGCCTCCTCATCTCGTACACGACCAACAAGTTCCCGAGCGAGTATGTCCCGACCGTCTTCGACAACTACGTGCGTCCAGCTTCCTCTCCCCCTCGCGAGCCTTTTCCCCGCCCAGCGGTCCTGACCCTGTCCTCTCGTACCCGCAACAGGCCGTCACGGTCATGATCGGCGACGACCCGTACACGCTCGGCCTGTTCGACACGGCCGGCCAGGAGGACTACGACCGGCTGCGCCCGCTGTCGTACCCGCAGACCGACGTCTTCCTCGTCTGCTTCAGCGTCACGTCGCCCGCCTCGTTCGAGAACGTCAAGGAGAAGTGGTTCCCCGAGGTGCACCACCACTGCCCGGGCGTCCCGTGCCTCATTGTCGGCACCCAGGTCGACCTGCGCGACGACCCGGCCGTCCTCGAGAAGCTCGGCAGGCAGAAGCAGCGCCCTGTGCCTCCCGAGGCTGGCGAGCGGCTCGCGCGGGAACTCGGCGCCGTCAAGTACGTCGAGTGCTCGGCCCTCACGCAGAAGGGGGTGCGTCCTCTCCTCCCTCCTCTCTCTCCCTCTCCTTTCCCTCCTGCGCCCGGCCGTTCAGTTCCTCACCTCGCCAACTACTCGCCTCACAGCTCAAGAACGTCTTTGACGAGGCCATCGTTGCGGCGCTCGAGCCGCCCGTCACCAAGCGCAAGAGCAAGTGCAGCATCCTCTAGATCGCCACCTGGCCGCCCTCGACAGACTCTTCCTCCTTCCGCGACTCGTCCGTCTTCTTGCCGTCCTCGCCGGGCATATCGCGTGCCCGGCGACCTCCTATCCCGCCCCTTTGTTGCGCCTAGTCCCCCTCCTTGCCCCTCCCCTTCCCCTCGCTCCCCCTCCTCCTTAGCTCGCATCCTCCGGCCCTCTCGTCTACCTCTCGCGCGTGCCCTCTCTCTTCTTTTGTGACTCCGTCCCCGTCCTACACCCCTTCACTCGCGCCCAGCCGAGCCGAGCAGTCGTCGCGCGAGTGCGACTCGCTCTCGCTCCGGCCGCGTCCGCTCGCCCCCCTGTCCTCGTTGCACGTCCTCCTTTTGCCCTGTAATCCTTCGGTACGTCATGCCTGTCGGTTCGCGCGAGCGAGCGAGAGCTAGAGAGATGCGCGCTGGTCTGTGTCGCGGCCGACGTCGCCCTTTTGACTTCCACCACCGCTCGCACTCGTCGCCCCGCCACCACAGGGCCTTGTCGCCCCGCGCACCTGTATCGCCGAGACCTGCTGCTACACGCGATGAGCGGCACGAGCACGCCCGAGCTGCGGCAGCCGCAGAGCCAGCGGGTGAGCGACCGAATCGCCCAGCTGTCACCGGACCAGCCGTTCTACACGTTCGAGGTGCGTCGCTGCTCCTCCCCTGTCCTCGTAGGAGCTTGTCACGAGCTCCTGCGCTGTCCCTGCGCCGCTCAGGGTTGTCGTCGCTCACCTTTCCTCCCCTCCACCTCCGCACCCTCCTCCGCCCCGGCTCCCTCCCTCTCGCAGGTCTTCCCGCCCAAGACCGACATCGGCCTCGCCAACCTCGTCGACCGCATCGACCGCATGTCGTCGCTCAACCCGACCTGGATGCACGTGACGTGGGGCGCAGGCGGCTCGACCCAGGCGAGGTCGCTCGAGCTGGCCGGCGCGAGCCAGGGCATGGGCCTCGAGACGTGCCTGCACCTGACGTGCACCAACCTCGAGGAGGGCGTGCTCGACAAGACGCTCAAGCGGGCAAAGGAGCTCGGCGTCGTCAACTTGCTCGCCCTCCGAGGAGGTGCGTTCCACTCCCTCTCCTCCTCGACCTTGCCCTCGGCCGTTCTCTCGAATTGACCCGGCCTCTCTCTCTCTCTCGACGCAGATCCTCCACGCGGCGAGGAGTACTGGACCGCGTCGAGCGACATGTTCCAGCACGCGACCGACCTCGTGCGCCACATTCGCAAGGAGCATGGCGACGCGTTCTGCATCGGCGTTGCGGGTCCGTCCTGTCTGCTCTCTCCTGCCTCAGCCGACATGGATCTGACCTCGAGCTCCCGCAGGTTACCCCGAGGGCCACGCCGACTCGCCCGACAAGCTGGCCGACATCGAGTACCTGTTCGAGAAGCAGCAGGCCGGCGCAGATTTCGTCGTCACGCAGCTCTTCTACGACGTCGACGTCTTCATGAAGTGGTACAAGGCGTGTCGAGACCGAGGTGCGTCCAGGTCGTGTTCCCCTCGTCTGTGGCCCGAACCTGACGAGCATCGAGTCGTCGCACGCAGGCATCACGATCCCGATCCTCCCGGGCATCATGCCCATCCAGAACTACCTGTCGTTCCGCCGCATGACCAACTTGTGCGGCACGCACATCCCCGACGACATCATGGCCGACCTCGAGCGCATCCAGGTGCGCCCCCCTCTCCCCCTCCTCACCTTCAGCTCGATCGCCCAGCTCACCCTCTCTCTGCGCCGCAGCACGACGACGCCGCCGTCAAAGACTACGGCGTTCGCCTGTCGGTCAAGATGATGCGCGCCCTGTTCGACGAGGGCATTCGCGGCTACCACCTGTGCACGCTCAACCTCGAGAAGAGCGTCACCCGCGTGCTCGAGCTGCTCGAGTGGGTCGAGCCGGACGCGACCCGCCACAAGCCTCGACTGCATCGAGTGCGTCGTGCCACCTCTCTGCCCTCTTGGCTCTGCGCCGCCCCTGACGACCTCGAGTGTGCGCAGACGCTCGCCCCGAACGGCGCGCCGTTGCCCAAGGTCGTCAACTCGCTCCGCCCTCGCCCCGACTCGAGCCAGAGCGTCGCAGGGCCCGACATTGCGCGCAAGGACAGCCCGGCGAGCTGGGACGAGTTCCCGAACGGCCGGTTCGGCGACGCGCGCAGTCCTGCGTATGGCGAGATGGACGGCTATGGCGTCAGCCTCAAGCTCCCTGTGCGTCCCACCTCGTTCCCTCCTCGTCCTCCCCGTGCGCAGCACTGAGTCGTACGCCGTCGTTGCAGCCTGGCGAGGCGATGCGCCTGTGGGGCGAGCCGACTTCCCTCCCCGACATCTCGCGCGTCTTCTCGTCGTACCTGCGCGGCACGCTCCCGTCGAACCCGTGGTCCGAGGAGCCGCTCCGGGCCGAGACGGCGACGATCTCGGCGCACCTGATCGAGATGAACGACGAGCGGCACTGGTGGACGGTCGGCTCGCAGCCCGCCGTCGACGGCGCACCGAGCGCCGACCTCGTTCACGGCTTCGGCCCCAAGGGCGGCTACGTGTACCAGAAGGCGTTCGTCGAGTTCTTCCTCACCGGCCCCGAGCTCGACGAGCTCGAGCGCAAGAGCGCCGAGGACGCGCGCGTGCGCAGGGAGTCGGGCGAGGGCGACGACGCGCTCGTGACGTGGTTCGCCGGCAACGCGCAGGGCGAGCACCGCAGCAACATGGCCAAGGGCGACGTCAACGCCGTCACGTGGGGCGTCTTTGGCGCCAAGGAGATCGTCACGACGACGCTCATCGAGGAGATGAGTTTCCGGGCTTGGTGTGTGCGTCCACCTTTCCCTCTCTCTCTCTCTCCCGTCCTGTCGCCTCAGCACGCCCGCCCTCGTCGTCGTCCACCTGACATTCGTGCCCATGCCCGCAGGAGGAGGCTTTTGCGTTGTGGCGAGAGTGGTCGCTCCTGTACGCCGTCGCGTCGCCGGCTCGCGCCTTCCTCCGCAACGTCACCGAGACGCGCTGGCTCGTCTCGGTCGTCCACCACGACTACAAGGACCGCGACGGGCTGTGGAAGTGGCTCCTCGCGCTCAAGACGCCGCAGCAGGACGAGGCTTGAGCGGCGCTCGAGCGTGCGAGCGTGCGAGCGTACTCGGGCGCCGCGAGCTGGGCGGTCGACGGACGAGGTTGTTGTTGCGCTACGCTGTCTCTCCTTCTCATCTAGACTCTCTTGTCGTAGCAGTCCGACCTGCAACCCGCACCCGCATCAGCCAGAGCGGTACGGGTCCGAGTGCGAGAGTTCGTCGCCAAGCCGAGAGGCGTCGCCGCTTGCATTTTCTGCTCGAGAGCATGCCCGGTTCTATCTGCTTTGGTAGAGCGGCTCGTCGCACTCACGCTTCGCGCGAGGGCAGGAGAGAACGAGCGACTTGTCATCAGTCAGCTCCCGATCTCGCCTTCAAGCCGAAGTCCCTCGCCCTCTCTCCCGTCCCACCACGCCAGTAGCCTTCAACTCGAAGCTACTGCACCCGAGAACCCTCAAGCTGGCTTTCCCGCTCGTCTTGTCCCGCCAAGCTCTCCCGACGCTCCGCACCTCGTCCCACCCCCGCCGCCTCTTCGCCCTCTCGCCTCGCCTGTTCTCCGTCTCGGCGTACAAGATGGCCCCCGTTCCGTTCAAGTCGAGCGCTGCTCAGAAGGGCGAGAACCACTTCGACCTCATCGTCATCGGCGGCGGCTCGGGTGGACTCGGTGCCGCTCGTCGCGCAGCCCAGTACGGTGCCCGCGGTGCGTTCCCTCTCTCTCTCCTGTTGCCTCAGTCGCCTCTCGGTGTCGAGCAGTCGGTACAAGAGGCGCAGCGCTGACTCTCTCGCACCGTCCTCCTTGTACTCGCCGTCACCTTCTTCCTCGCCTTCCTCCTGTTCCTGCAGCTGCCATCGTCGAGGAGACGTGGCGCCTCGGCGGCACCTGCGTCAACGTCGGCTGTGTCCCCAAGAAGGTCTCGTGGCACGCGGCCGACATCGCCGAGAAGCTGCGCCAGGCCGAGGCGTACGGCTTCAAGGTCCCCGAGGGCTCGGACAAGATCGACTGGCCCATGTTCAAGCAGAAGCGCGACAAGTACATCGAGCGCCTCAACGGCATCTACGAGCGCAGTGCGTCCCATCCCTCCCTCAGAAGACGCAGCACGGCATCAGGACTGACATCGTCGGCCCCGCCTCGCGCAGACGTCGAGAAGGACAAGGTCGAGTACATCACGGGCCACGCCAAGTTCGCCGGCAAGGGCAAGATCACGGTCGTCCCGACGTACCCGGAGAGCAAGGCGCACGGCGGCGCCGACGTCGAGCGCACCTACACGGCCGACCGCTTCGTCATCGCCGTCGGCGGCGCGCCGACCCTGCCCAAGGACATCCCGGGCTACGAGTACGGCTTCCACTCGGACGGCTTCTTCTACCTCGAGGAGCTGCCCAAGCGCGCCGTCATCGTCGGCGCCGGCTACATCGCCGTCGAGCTCGCCGGCGTCCTGCACACGCTCGGCGTCGAGACGCACCTCGTCATCCGCCACGAGAAGATCCTCAAGGCGTTCGACCCGATGCTCCAGGACGTGCTCCAGGACCATATCGTCAAGACGGGCATCCACGTCCACACCAACTCGAACGTCGAGAAGGTGACGACCGACGTCGAGAACCCGGACCTCCACAAGCCGTTCCCCAAGACGGTCTACACCAAAGAGGGCGAGAAGATCGAGACCGACGTCCTCCTGTGGGCCATCGGTCGCCACTCGCTCACCGACAACATCGGCGCCGAGACGATCGGCCTCGAGCTCGAGAAGAACGGCGACATCCACGTCGACGAGTACCAGGCCACCAAGGTCGAGAACGTGTTCGCCATCGGCGACGTCGCCGGCAAGGCCCTCCTTACGCCCGTCGCCATCGCTGCCGGCCGCCGCCTCGCCAACCGCATCTACGGCGGCGTCGAGGGCGACAAGCTGTCGTACGAGAACATCCCGACGGTGGTCTTTTCGTGCGTCGACCCTCTCCCTCTTTCCCTTTGCGACGGTATCTCGACAACGGCGAGTCGTCGGGTGACCGTGAGAGGAGAGACGAGCCATTGGCGTCGTCCAGACGAGTTCCCGAACTGACTCTCCTTCGTTCCATCCTCCTCGTCGCCCGCCTACAATCCCTCCTTCGACCTTCTTCTCGACTCTTTCCGCCCTGCTGCTTCTTCAGTCACCCGACCATCGGGACCGTCGGCCTCGTACGTCGTCGCTCGCCCTGATCTTTCCCTCGTCCCCGAGACTGACCCGCTCGGACCCTCTTGCAGACGGAGCCCGAAGCGCGCGAGAAGTACGGCGACGACCAGATCAAGATCTACAAGTCGACGTTCACGGCCCTGTACTACTCGATGATGGACCCGGACCACAAGGAGCCGACCGCGATGAAGATGATCTGTGCCGGCCCGGAGGAGAAGGTCGTCGGCCTGCACCTCATCGGCCTCGGCAGCGACGAGATGCTTCAGGGCTTCGCCGTCGCGATCAAGATGGGCGGTGCGTCCTCGAACATGTTCCCTCGTCATTCCTGCGGTCCTCTGACCTCATCTCGAGCCCTCCCATGTCCCGTCCCTTCCTCCCTCCCTCCCTTACCGACATCCTTCCCTCGTCTGCCCGTCTCACTTCGTCCCTCGCCGACTTCTTGGGTCGTACCGTCCTCTCTCGACGCCTCGCAGCCACCAAGCAGCAGTTCGACGACACGGTCGCCATCCACCCGACGTCGGCCGAGGGTGCGTCCTCCTCCTCCCTCCTCTCGACTGTCGCGGCCCGGCGAGCTCACTCGCCTTGCCTCCTGCAGAGGTCGTCACCATGCGGTAGATGCTCAAGAGGGGAGGAGGAAGGAGGACGCGGGCGAGGGCGGTTTGGGAAGGTCGCCGACTTCTCGTCGTTCCCTCAAGTCCGACGATGGGCCCTTGCAGACTTCCCTGTGCTGCAATGGAAAGTTGTACCGACTTGCAGATGAGCGCTCGAAGTTATGAGAGCGAGAGCTAGCTACTGGTCGCCGCACACCGCTCGGCGAGGCGAACGAGCGCATCACTGGTGAGCACCCAAGGGCGTAGCGGGGGACTGAGTGCGCAAGCGTCGAGTATCCGTCCCAATGACGACGTTGAGAGCGGCGGAACCCGGGATTAAACTGTTCTCGAGGAGTGAGAGCGTCTCGCAACTACCTTCTCTTGCTCGACGAGGTCAACTTCTCGATTCTCGTCTCTTGCATCGCGTGCTGCAGACGCGCAAAGACGGGGCACTGCTGGCACTGCATTCTTCAACCTTCGAGAAATCGCTACACAGATCGAGAGGGAGACGGAAGAGAGAGAAACCCGGGGACGCTCAGCACTTGAGAACGATACGGCCGGCGACGCCGCCCTTCTCCATGCGCTCGTAGACCGAGTTGATGTCGTCGAGGTCGAGGATCTCGAGCTGCGGCTTGACCTTCCCGCGCACGGCAAAGTCCAGGGCCTCGATCGCGTCTTGGCGATTTCCGACGTACGAGCCGACCTGTGAGAGCGAGACGGGGCAAGGTCAGTCGCGCAGGGCACTGAGGGAGGGCAGAGGAGGGGGCGCACAATGCGAAGAGCCTTGAAGCTGCATATAGAGAGAAAGAGAGTCGGCGCCGAGAACGAGGATACGAGGGAAGGCGAGAGGGACGCACACTGTGAAGAAGACGTCGGCGTTGATGGTCGCGTTCGGCGGGAGGCCGACGGCGACGAGGGTGCCGTGCGGGCGCAGGTACTCGAGCGCCTCGTTGTAGGCGGCAGCACCGGCCGACGTGATGACGGCGGCGTGCGGGCCCTCGCCGCCGCAGACGCGCTTGACCTCGTCGATGAGCTTGCCCTTGCCCGAGTGCTCCTTGAAGTCGATGAACGTGTCGGCGCCGTACGACGCGAGGAGCTTGCGCTTGTCGTCGCCCGTGTCGATGCCGACGACGCGCAGGCCCATGGCGGTCGCGTACTGCACAGCGAGGTGGCCGAGTCCGCCGCCGGCGCCCGAGATGACGACAAAGTCGCCCGGGCGCGTGTTGCTCTGCTTGATCGCCTTCCAGACCGTGACGCCGGCGCACAGGATCGGGGCGGCGACCTCCATGTCGACGCCGTCGGGGATGGGCGTCAGGTGCTTGAGGTAGGACACGGCGTATCTGCGAGCGCACGAGCGAGCGTCGTCAGGAACCGTCTCGGCTCCTGCAGAACGAAGAGAAAGGAGCGAAAGGGACGCACTGCTGGAACGAGCCGTCGACGGTGTAGCCCGAGAGCTTGGCGTTCGAGCACGTCGCCTCCTGGCCGCCGAGGCAGGCCTCGCAGTTGAGGCAGCTGTGGTCGAGGGGTTTAGAGAGGGTCAGTCAACGTCGTGAAGCGCGCTCAAGGAGGAAAGACGGCGAGCGAGAGAGGGTCCTCGAGGCGAGCGAGAGAGAGTCCTCGAGGTACGAGCGTGGAGGGACGGTGGGGGAAACGGCCGAGGGCCAGGAGGGGCGATGGAGAGAGAGAGAGCGAGAGCGCACCTGTCCGCGAGCCACTTGATGCCGACCTTGGAGCCGACCTTGAACTGGGTGTCGGAGCCCTCGCCGATAGCGACAATGCGGCCTGCGCCTTCGTGGCCGCCAACGAGCGGGCACTTGGGCGGGATCGGCCAGTCGCCCTTCCTGCAGGCGAGTCGACGAGCAGTCAGAGACGGTCTCGAGGTCGACGAGGGGCGCGCGAGGACGCAGGAGCAGGCGACGAGGAGGCGAATGCGTCGGGACGAGGGAGCCGAGAGACGCACCAGGCGTGGAGGTCCGTGTCTGCGGGCGCAGGGAGAGAAGAGTCAACGCTGTACGTGCTAGAGGAGCTGCAGACAGAGTCGCCAGGGGTGCGGGCCGATGGCGTCGACGAGGCTCGACCGCGCCGACGACCGCCGCCAACGTCCACCTCGTCTGGGGTGGGGCGAGCGAAAGATTGGACGCACGGCAGACACCGGTGAACTCGACCTTGACGAGGGCCTCGCCGGCCTTGAGCTCGCTCGGCTGGGCGACCTTGTGGTCCTTGTCGACCCTGATGGCGCCGTTGCACTCGTCAAAGACGACGGCCCTGGCGGTCTTGGGGATCTGCTCGTTCGACATGGTGGTGCGTGGAGCGGTGCGAGTAGTTGTGCGGGTGGTGGTAATGCGGGGAAGCTGTGGGAGGCGGGCAAAGGGTCAGTCGGCCGAGGTCGACAAGCGAGGACGAGGACGAGGAGGGAGTGGGACGGCAGGGGCGCACCTTGCGGGTGGTGGCTCGGGTCGGGCGCCGAGCACTGAGTGTAGAGAGAGGGAGGGAAGGAAGGAGATCTGGAACGAGGTTGTCGTCGACGCGAGAGAGCGGTTGCGCGAAGGGCCAAGGTGGGGAACGGGTCGGAGGTGGAGAAACTCGCTGATCTCTCGCCCGGCCGCTGCGCCGCTGCGCCCGCGTCCCCTCCCGACCATGCACCTCGAGACAGGCGTCCACAGCCTCGTCCCCGCCCTTCCCGCGAACGAAGCGCGGCCTCGTCCTCCCGTGCGCGCGTGCGGGGACACGGCCGCGAGGGCTAGCCTCTTGCGCGCGCAGTGGAAAGCATGCGCAGCGTGACCTTGATTGCCGCTGCACTGCGAGTGTCGAAGGGAGAGAGAGCCTGAGAGAGCTCGCCGCTCGCCGCCAGCTGCCAAGTCCCAGCTCTGCTGGACCACCACACTCGCACACCGCTCTGCGACTCGACAACACAGCTTCACGCGCTCTCAGCACCGCCAGCACCAGTCCAGCACCAACCGCCAAGCTCGCACTGCCGACATGTCTGGTCGAGGCGGCCGAGGAGGCGGACGAGGAGGTCGAGGCGGGTCGGGCAAGCCCCAGGCGCCGATAGGGCACCTCCAGTACGCCGACATCATCGCCACGAGCAAGGAGGGCACCGATGTGCTGTACCCTGTGCGTCCCTCTCCCCCCATCTCTCTCTCACCCACAACAGGAGCTCGTCCAGCACGCCGCCCACTAGCCTGTCTTCCAGGACTCTTCAGACGAGTACACCAACGTGCCCCTCTCGACCCTCTACCATCCGGCCGTCCCTCGTTCGCCCGACAACTCGCTCCTGTCCCTCCTCGACGCCAACAAGCCCCACGACGCCCGCCGCCTCCTCCACGAGACGCGCGCGTCGGTCCAGCTCATCCCGCACCGCTACGCCTTCTTCACCCACGCGCGCGCCCTCGCTCTCGGCCCAGCACGCGCTCCCGACCACCCGGCGCCGCTCGCGCCGCCCGTCGACCCTCCTCGCCCGTAACGAGCACGGTGAACGCGACTGGCTTCGAGTGGGCGGAAGCTTGCGCCCGCCATCCCGGAATTGGGTCCACGACGAGGGTCGTCGACGCTGCGCGACGTCCACAAGGCCATGGCCCACGCCCGCAAAGGTCCCCTTCCCCCAGTTGCGCACCGTCCCCGGTCCTCGAGGGTGCAGGCGGCACGGCCATGGC